GTATAACACAAACAAATATAATTTTTATATTATAAATTTTTTATTTTTATTTTAATATATAAATATTTTACAAAATTATAAATTTTTATTTTAAAATTAAAACTCACTTTATATGAGAACCTAACAAACCACCACATAATTAAAAGTCACGCGCTCTATCTAGGGGTGTCAAAGTGAGCCAACCCAGCTCACACTGGTTGGCTCACCACGGGTTGAGATTGAAAATAGATGAGCTCAACTTGGCTCACTTTTTGGTGAGCCAGTAAATTTTACAACCTGCTCAACCCACCACGGGTTGGTGGGTTAGGTGGGTTGTCTCACTAACCCATATTTTTTTAATTTTTTAAATTATATAAAAATTTCGGATGTAGAAACTTATGTTTTCTTCCTTTCTTTCTCAACATCAGTATCTTCGTTATTAACTCGAAATTGACTCATTGAATTTTTCATTAATAATAAAATCATCACTAATACAATTTACATTAACGCTTTGATGTATTGTTTCAGATTTCATACTGTAAATTAATTTAAAAGAAAGAAGTCAAAAATTCATATATTAAAGATATATACGTATAAATCAATAACAAACAACAAATAATGTATAGATGCTACAATTTTCAAATAAAGATTCATCAATCCAATAATTTTGGTTATGAAACAAATTTGTACCTTTGAAAGCAATACAGTGGTTTAGGTTATGAAACAAATTCTTATCTTTGAAAGCAATACAATGAACATGGTGTAGTGGTGCAAGTGGATGAGATAATAAGACAAGTGACTAAAGTGCAGCGACAAATGTAATGGTGTAGCGAACAATAATAAGTTTAAGTGAGGGTTTGACTTGTGGCGACAACCAATAATGTAGGGTAGAGGTAAAACAGGATAACATCAATTAGGGTTACTAAAAGTATTATAATTATTTTAAAAATTTAAAATAAATGATTAATTAAGGTTAGTATGTTATTATAATTATTTTTAAAAATTAAAATTAATGGTGGGTTGCGGCCCAACCCACCATAACCCGACTCGAACCCGTTTAACACGTGGGTTAAGTGAGTCGGGTTCATTTTTAACCCATAATCGGTAGAAATAAAATAAATCGAACCCAACCCGGCTCGAACCCGTGGTGAGCCGGGTTGGCTCACGGGTTAGAACCCATATGGACACCCCTAGCTCTATCACAGCAAAACAATATCATAAAATATTAATATAAAAATATTTTGTGTTGAAACAATTTGTCACTAATATTTCGTCACAAATTTTCATTAATTTAATATGTCTCTTGTATTACCATAAATTCATTTTGAATGACTATCTAAAATATAAGTTTACTTTAAGCTAAATAACTCTCATTCTAAATGATTATATAAAAATATTTTTTTTATAAAATTGTACATTATCTAATTATTGAATTATTCAAATCTTTTACTTTCAGGAACTTATTGGTGAAAGAAAAAAATATGTTTTATAACTCGAATGGTATACACCTAATTAGATCCAGGAGCTAATAAATCAATTTATTAATTTTTTATATATTTGAAAAAATCATTTTAACTATTAACTAAATCTTTATTCATTAATTAATATTTTTTATTTGATAAATTAAAAGAATTATTATACTTACATATTAAAATACTAAATTATAATGAATAACTTAAGTTTATATATTATATTATTGGTATTTATGATTATTACAATAATATAGTATATTTATATATTTCAATAATATAACACAAATAAATATAATTTTTACATTATAAATTTTTTGTTTTTATTTTAATATATAAATATTTTACAAAATCATAAATATTTATTTTAAAATTAAAATTCATCATATATGAAAATCGAACCTACAGTCACCTAATTAAAAGTTATGCATTCTACTTCAACAAAGACATGATGGCAAAATATTAATTTTAAAAAATGAAAAAATTTGTCACTAATGTTTGTCACTAATGATTCGTCACAAATTCATTAATTTAATATATTTCGTGTTATCATAAATTCATTTTAAATGATTATATAAAAATATAGGTTTATTTTGTGTTTTATTATTTAAAGATTTATCATAAATTTACATCTTATAATATTTTTATTATTAGGGGAATTTAATTTTCATATTACACTTATTAGAAAATTTTAAAAATATTTGTGTTGTTTTCTTTTACCATTTTCAGATTTATATATTCTAAAGTTTCATTTTTGGAGAATTATTTTTTTTCAAAAATTTCACTGTTTTATACTTGATTTTTAATTGTTCTTGTATTTTTGAGTTTTTTTCATATTTTAGAATTTAGTTTTCATAATTACTGTTAAAAATTTTAAAGAATTTGTGTTGTTTTCTTTTACAACTTTTAGATTAATCATAACTTTTTATATTACATATCCCACATTTTCATTATGGGGGCACTTTTTAAAATTTCACTATTTCATTTTAGTTTTTTTTGAGTAATTTTTTTATATTTTAAGAATTTAGTTTTTATCGTTATACTTGTTAGAAAAAATCTATTTTTTTTATTTTTTTCTTTTACCATTTTCAGATTTATAATACCATTGAAACTTAATTATTTTATACCTTCATTATTGATTTTTTTTTTCAAAATTTCACTATTTGATACTTGTTTTTTATTGTTCTAGTATATTTAAGTCATTTTTTTTATATTTTAAAATTTCATTTTCATAGTTACAGTTACTAGAAATTTTAAAATTTTATGTGTAGTTTTCTTTTACCATTTTAAGATTTGTCATAACTTTACTTCTTAAATATCTTACACTTTCATTGTTGGAGGATTTTGTTTTTAATTTCACTATTTCATTCTAGTTTCTTTTTCTATTTTTATTCATTTTTTAATATTTTAGGTATTTAGTTATCATAGTTATATCTATCATAAAATTCTAAAATTTTTTGAGTTATTTTCTTTTATAATTTTCAAATTTATCAAACCTTTAATCCTATATATTTCACAGTTTCATCATTGGAGGATTTTTTTTCATAATTCCATATGTTCATACTTATTTTTTATTGTTCTAGTATTTTTGAGTCATTTTTTATATATTTTTAATTTAATTTTCATAGTTAGAAAATTCTAAACATTTTTTTGTTATTTTCTTTTACCACTTTTAGATTAATCATAACTTTGCATCTTATATATCCCACATTTTCATTATTTTGAATTTTTTTTTAAATTTTACTATTTTATTCTAGTTTTTTTTCCTAGTTTTTTAAGTCATTTTCTTACATTTTAGGAATTTATTTTTTAATACTTACACCTGTCAAAAAAGTCTAAACATTTTTGTGTTCTTTTTTTATCATTTTCATATCTATTATACATTTTCATTTTCTATATTTTACACTTTTATTATTGGAGGAATTTTTTTCAAAATTCTACTGTTTCATACTTATTTTTTGTTCTAGTATTTTTTAATATTTTTTTTTTTACTTTTTAGAAATTTAGTTTTTATAGTTATACAGTTAGAAATTTTTAAAATTTATATTATTTTCTTTTACTATTTTCAAATTAGTTATAACTTTATATCTTACATATCTCACAATTTTATTATTGGGAGATTTTTTTTTATTTTGTTATTTCAATCTAGTATTTTTGAGTCATTTTCTTATATTTTAGGAATATAGTTTTCATAGTTACCCCGATCAAAAAAATTTTATATTTTATATTTTTTTCTTTCATCATTTTTAGATTTATCACTTTCAAATTAATCATAATATTACATCTTAAACATTCCACACTTTTATTATTGGGTAATTAAAAAAAAATCGCTATTTCATTCATTTTTTTTAATCATTTTCTTATATTTTATGAATTTTGCTATTTTATAAATTTATTAGTCATAGTTACATCTAGTTAGAAAATTTTAAGTTGTGTTGTTATTTTTTACCTCTTTCATAATCATAATATTATATCTTAAATATATCACGTTTTGGAGATATGTTTTAAATTCTACTATTTCATTATAATTTTTTTTATTATTTTATTAAATTTTAAAAATTTAGTTTTTATTGATACATTAAACCTATAATAATAAGAAATTTAGTTTTGATTGATATATTAAACCTATAATGAGAGAGAGCAAGCTAGAATCAGGGGTGAAAGCAATCGAGTTAGTTAGTTAGTTAGCCGTGAAATCCAATAGATAGAAGGTAGAGTCCTAAGCGAGGCCACAAGCCAGCTTTCAATCAGTAATACGGGACTAACAAGAGGCATTCAAAGCCCTATAAGATAAGATAAGATAAGATAAGAAGAAATAAGATAAGAAGAAAGCTTATGCGCCCTAAGAATCAATCATAGAATCATAGAAAGAGGGGTGCGTAGCGGGCTGTGAAGTTAGTGGAGTGGGAAGGATCGAACAAAAGCTATTGAATCCGCAGTGAGTGGAAAGTAGTCCCATGTCGAAGCAATTGGTGAATGAATAGATCAGGCAGGGCATTCCAATGAATCAAAAATAGATGCGAGATCGACAAAGCAATCAGTTCATCCGACTCGGGAATCCATCTATTGAATCAGTAGCAGATGTTTCCGAGGGTGAGTTCACCAGCACAAGCCTAGAAAGAAGGGAATAGCAGGTACACGTGAATGAAAAATGATAGCATGGGACTCTGTAGCAAACACCATACAGTGAACGGCAGAGTCTGGCATCACCGTTAAACGTTTCTCGTGAAGCTTCAATCACTTTCGCTACCACTGACTCCACGTTCAGACGTGGACCAACTGTTTGGAACCGTCTCCCATGTAAACCCCTGCCATTTTCCCCCCTTTTCTGTGTTTAGGTTAAAGATGAGCTGTCTAAATGAAAAATGACAGCCTGTGTTCAGCAGCTACTCCATCCTTCTGTACTCAATATTTCACTCTATGTGCTCCAAGTTTAATGCAATGCAATGTGGGCAATACAGAAAATATTTTAGCCATATTTTGGTCTCATCCTAAACTTTAGGCATCCGAAACATTTCAATCCATTGCTGAAGATCCCCTCTCAGAGTAGAGATGGAACAACTATCGGCAGCAACATCACCTCACATTGTGGCTTTACCCTTTATAGGAGAAGGGCACGTGAAACCCATGTTGAACTTGGCCAAACTTCTCTCCCACAGAGGCCACAGAATCACCTTCGTCAACACAGACCAATTCCACAGTCGCTTCCTCCAATTCACAGACCTACCATCCTTCCACACCCAATTCCCTGGCTTTCACTTTGCATCCATCACTGATGGCATGCCCTCTGACCATCCTCGAGATATGTCCATGATTGCCCAATTTTCTATGGTTATCAGTCCTAGCGCCAGGTCCTTGGTTGCTAAAGAGTTCCGAGAACTATTCCTCAGACTTGTCGAGAAAAATGAACAGCGGCAGCCACCGTCATGCATCATAGCCGACGGACTCATGACAACAATTGCCATCGGAGTCGCACAAGAGTTCGGTATTCCACTGATTGCTTTCCGAACATACAGTGCCACTTGCACTTGGGTCACAATGCACATGAGCAAACTTGTTCAAGAGGGAAGGCTGCTATGGAAAAATCAAGGTGAGTATATATGTATTGTGAAGGCTTTTCAGAGTAAAACAGAAAGAGAGTTAGATGCTTTGAGAAAAATAATTATTTCACAAGAAGATTTTAGATCAATTATAGATACACATATAGAGTTAATCAATGTTAGTATTTCAGGAAGAATAAGAAAGGTGGATATTGTTGGTTTGTAATATTAATCTGGTTACCGGAGATAACTTTAATGGTGAGTTGCACCCTAGTATATAGTTTTAGAAAAAGATGGTATGTATAGTAGGATAAGGTTCGAATAAGAGAAAATAATAATCAATTTTGAAAGTACCTTGAGGAATAATAATCAATTCTGAAAGTATTTTTCATATAGACATGAATCATCGTTTTCTAAAATCTTCTAGGACTTTAATATAAAAAATTCTGTGTAATTCTATCTATAATACATCTTTTGACTTAGTTCGATAACTCTTAAAGTTACAGAAATTATTCTCTTAAATTTCTAATTTTAATAGTTTTAACAATTTAATATGGATGATTTTTTAGAATTTCCACCATCTAAACTATCTAGATTATTAAAATTACAATCAATATAGAATTCAAAAGTTTTCACAACATAAAAAAAAAAAAATTGCCCTTTTTTTTCTTTGTTTGAACAATCCGAAATCATTTTTACGTAGAAATGTCATTAAAAATAATAATAATATTTAAAAATCTTTCTATATTTTTAGGTGAGATTTTGTCACACTCTCATATTTTGAGAGTAATTTTTCATTATACTCCCTCCTGCCGAGCGATTTTTCATCTTGACAACATCAAAAGTTTTTGACAATTTAGCAATTGACTTTACATGCAGAGAATACAGATGATGCAGCCGCAGACATTCCTGGAATAGAGAATTTATTGAGAAAATGTGATCTTCCGCCCTATTTCACATTATTATTGACAGATGCAAGCCTCAGGAAGGACTTCTACGTCAAAGAAACCTTAGCAATGACTCAAGCTTCAGCTCTTATACTCAATACTTTTGAACAACTAGAACCCTCCACTATTTCTAAGCTTGCTACTGTATTTCCAAAAGTTTTTTGTATTGGCCCTCTTCACACTCTCTGCAAGACCATCCTCACGACCAACAGTTCATCGCCCGACAAAGATGGTCGTCTGAGAAAAGAAGATAGAAGTTGCATGAAATGGTTGGACAATCAAAAGGAAAAGTCAGTATTGTATGTTAGCTTTGGCACTGTGGTGAGTCTATCACATGAGGAACTAATGGAGTTTTGGCATGGCCTGGTGAATAGTTTGAAGCCTTTCTTGTGGGTTATCCAAAAGGACTTGATCCAGCAAAATGTACCAAATGAAAGGGGTGTTTTGGTCGATTGGGCTCCTCAAGAAGAGGTTTTGGCTCACCCTGCCGTGTGTGGATTTTTGACTCATTGTGGATGGAACTCTACTTTGGAATGTATTGCTGAAGGAGTGCCTATGCTTTGCTGTCCATTCATAGCTGATCAACCCGTTAATAGCAGGTGTGTGAGTGAACAATGGAGGACTGGTCTCAGTATGAATAGGATGTGTGATAGATTGACTGTAGAAAAGATGGTGAGAGATTTAATGGAGAATGAACACAAAGAGCTCATGAGATCAGTGACAGAGATTTCAAAACATGCTCGTGATAGTACCAAAGAGAATGGCTCTTCTTATCATAATTTACAGAATTTGATCAAGGACATTGAGTTAACGAAGGAGTTGAACTAGTATTAGAGGTAAAAATGCATTTGTGTAAAATTGTAATACATTTTCCAATTTAATTTAATCATGGTTATGTATTAAAATTTGAAAGACTTATAAATGTGTGTATTTTGACTTGGGATATTCACATTTTTTGTATTAAAATATTTTATATATTTTTTGTTGATAATAGGAAAGAATGACTGAAGAAACAACCTAGAAGGAAGATTGAACACATAAATAGGTTGAGAATTTTTTTTTTTTTCTATAAATTGACCAGAATCTTTGGATAACTACAAAACTCATAATCGATGATACATAAGTATATCTTTAATTAGTGTAGAATTTTCACAATATATCTTAAGTATAAGATCTCGTAAGTTTAACTTCTTGTATTATATTTCATAAGAAAAGATATTTAGCATGAAGAATGGTTTTTTCAAAAAAATATATTCTAAATTTAGTCAAATGCATATTTAGTTAATAGAAAAATTAAATAAATTAAAAAATAATTATATTATTATTATTATTAATATTATTTAATAATTTTGACAGGATTAAATTGAGTTAGATATAAAAGCATAATCAGTGAAAGATCATCATGCATTCAAATCACCACCGTATCCACCTAGCATGGATGAACTTTATAAAGTTTGAAATATTTTTCACAAAGAAAATGAAAATAGATAACATATTAATTCACATATCCGATTTCACAGGTCTAATGATACAATCAATATTTTTTACGACTCGATATATCAACGAGACATTTTGGTTCAGGTCCAAATTTAATAAGATAAAATTTTTATAATATAATAAATATATTAGCTCTAATATTAAAAATAAAAATAATAAAGATTATTGTTATGTTATAATTAATATTATAAATATAAAATACATGTAACATATGAATAATTATTATTTAAATTTGATAGTAACTATGAAATAATAAAAAATTAAAATATATTATATCTTTTATAAAAAAAATTATATTAAAAATTTTAATTTTAAATTTTTTTTAACCAAAACCGATTCGACTAAAAAATTTTACTTATTTTAATGTTTCTATTGGTTTTTATTTTTTATTTTTTTCAATTTAATTAAAATTCAATTATTCGAAAGTAATGGATCGCATTCTAGGTTGATTTAACTGGTCTGGTATGACTTTCAAAACAATTGTTAGAATATTTAGACAATCTAAAAATGTTTTTCTTATTATATACTCTCTCTGTCTTTTTTATTATATTCTTAGTAATTATATTTTATACACACCTTTTTTAATGTATTACATTTAGTTTATTATTATTTGATACTAAATTATTCACACTTAGAATAATGTTGATACAATTTTTATGGGCATGTGAATTTTAATGGTTTGTCATAGAAAATTGAGAATATATATTAAATTTGAATTTCATTAATAATAAAGAATTTTTGAACCATTAGCCAAAAGTTATTTTAAGACTCAATTTGTCCACTGTGAGTTTGTTGAATAAGTTTTTTAACATTAGGGTGAGAATAAACACTTGGAAAAATATGTTAGTTAGAATGAATTATCATATATCATGTTGATCCTTATGAAAAAATGTGAACTAAATAATGGAAAGATAATTTTATTTACAAAACTAAGTCAATTATAATTTATTTATTAACCCAAAATATAGTAACTAAGTTATATCTTTTAATGCTCCAATTATAATTAATGTTTCTATTGGGTATTCTAATATTGCAAGAGTTTCAATTATGATATAATTGTGATGACTCAATGGTTCCAAAATTCCACTAGACCTGTTTCAGAGTGATAGGTCAAAAATAAATTAGTAATTGCAGTTAGCTCATTTTAGTATGCTTCACTGATTAGATTAAAAATAGATTTAATCTAAAAAGTCCGAAAAATATATCAAAAAATATTAAAAAAAATTATGATTTAAACTAAATTAAATTTATTTTGACCTAATTTAACTCTACATGATCTTAAATTAAACTAACACATAAGTTTACAAATGAGACCATTTATAAACTAATAATTATTTTTTAAATAAAAATAAAAATATTATTATTATTATTATTATTATTATATATATATATATATATATATATATTATAAATATTAAAGTAACTGTTTGACATTCAATGATTAAGATTAATTATTATTCTAAATTAATAAATTATTTAAAAATAAATAATAAAAAAAATAAGTTTTTAATTCTTATTTTAAAGATTAAATGAATACATTATTTTTTAATTTATATATTAAATTATTATATTTTAAATTAAAATTAATTTTATTTTAAAATTTAAATTTTAAAAATATATTTTTATTTTTACTTTAATTTAAATATCTTTTAAATTAATTAATTTGGTATAAATATATTAATTTCAATTTGGTACATTATTGTAAGACTATATTAAAAATTTTGACCTTTCAAAATGTAAATCAAACTTGCTCATTTTAATAACTTTATCATTAACTCGATTTACGAAAGATAAGATACATCAGACCCACCAATCTTTTATTTAAAAAAATATTTGGTTATGTTAATTTGTTGAACTATATAAATATATTATAATATTATAAATTAAATGATAAATATTAATAAATTAAATTTAAAATATTAATTATAATTAAACATTAATATTTAAAATATATTATAATATAATTTTTTAATTTATCTAATAAATTAATAATAAATAAAAACTTAAAAAAAGTTCATATAATTATAAAAAATATACATTTTAAAAATATATAAAATTGAGAGACAGACAAAAATCTATAATTTATCTGATTAAGTTTAAGTCTGTCCGACTTTAAAGGAGAATAAACACCACAAACTGATGCTAATTTATCATACATAAAAACCAATAAATCATAACCAAACCGCTACTGTATACAATTAAGAAGCCAAACAGAGTTTATCAATAGCGCGTGATATTTAGTCTGTTTCTGTTTCATTCAATTTTAATACTAGTATAAAAGAAATTTGTACTAATATTAAATGAAAATAGTCTTATAATAGTGACTGAATTTGAATTGAACTCAAAATGCAATTACTAGGTGATTAAAAATGTATTTAACATTTTATTTTATCACTTCCACCTCAGGACTGAGCCTATATATAACAAATCGGCACACACAATATACAAAAATTGGAAAAAGTCAAACTGGGAGAAAACTGTGTATTACTTATAAATATCTATTTTGTTTCAATGATGGGGAAAAATGTATGTAAGTCAGTTAAACATTTAGGTATCAGAATACACTACACTACAACATCAAGGGCAAAATCCCGACATTAAGATATCATTCACTCTTGCAATATTCAACTATCTCTAAGGTACCTCAACTTAGCTGAAACAACTCTTCAGCTCTGATCAAAGGTTGCTTCAACTCTGATCAAAGTTCACGGCAGCACCCAGGGCATACACCATAACAGATTCTACTCAATTTGACATAAGAATATTCACATTTTCTGAACTGAATGATGCCTATGGTATGAAATAAGGTAATCATCATTAATCAATGTTCCTCGAAAATGATGGTAATGGCATTGAACCTTGTGGGCGAAAGATTACAAGCACACCAAACATCCCAAGCATTGGAAGTACAAGAAGCCACTTCAACAGTTTATAGTAGTGCATATGGAATGTAAGGGAGAAATCATCAGAAAAATAAAGACCATTTTTGTCAACCATCTCAACCAAAATTGTTCCCGTTGTCCTCACTGACACAGTTGGCAGCTTAATCCGATATTTCCCAGGTTGATCGTAGGTATTGTTCAACTTTATTGTTCTCTCACCTTGGTAATTCCCAGGTACTAATAAGGATGTCTGGTGAATTTACAAAGCATGAAAGAACAATGACACATAAACTCAGTGCTTCCCAGTGAATCAGTACACTTAAGATATAAATTAGTTTGGTTAGGAACTTACAGTGACTTTGTATGGTCCTTGATGCCCAGATGGGTATCTGTAATTATCTACAATCTCAATTTCCACCCAAAAATTTTTGCCTTCCTCATCACGGAATGTCCTATAAGGATGAGTGACAAATATACCTTCACGATTGTACCGATTTGCAACATTGTTTCTTCCTTGACTAGGCAATCTCCATGCCTGAAACAACGTACAGAGCCATTCAGTAACAAAACTGAAATTGTTTCAATGATAAATTTCAAACATATCCTGCCTTTAGGGGATGATGCGGAGATGGAGTTGAGAAGCAGAAGACATTGCCATTCATAGTTGTGACAATTAGATCCAGATCATCCCCACCATCAACATTGTCTGCCAAGACCATGCTATACCTGTAGCAAAAATGAGTCAACTTTGAGAAAGTAGGACAGAAAGCCTGTCCAAGACACAGGTTAAAGAATCTCTTACGAAGTTTCACCAATGTCAACAACATCAGCACATCCAGTAGGTCCATCAATGAGATACAAATATCCATCAAATGATGTGGTCACAAGAGTTAACCCTTTTTTTTTCTCCTTGTGCTTATTTAAATCAACTAAAAGAACTTGATTCATTATTCTTCCATGAGTTGGATATGGATATCGCCCAATAGATGACCCATCCCTGCCATCAAGAACATGAATCTTCCCAGACAGTGTTGGCACAACAAGCTCAGTATGACCATCCCCATCAATATCGCCAACAGTTGGACCCTATGGAAAATGAGAGACATTGTCAATCGAAATTTGAAAGGGAAACCACCTAAATGGTTTCTAATGCAATGGAGAATAAGTTGGAAGGTGTACGAAACAAATTATCAAATTAAGCAAACCCAAAAAAACATTAATAGTTTCATATGAACACATAGTATAAATTAATTTAAAGTGCAGTTACCTACATAAAGTTACATTCACATGAGTATTCTATAATCTATCATCCGCAACAGAAAATTATGTTTCTTAACAACATGGATGCAAAGGAACGGAGTTCAAATAATAAAACTGATAGCTCTTAAGGAATACTGTGAAGACCAAAACTAAAACTGAGTAATTGACTTTCTCCATCTGTCTTTTATGATAATTCTTGTGTTTTTCTACCTATCTCTTATTAATTCAATACGGTCAATTGCAATCTAGTTTGATAAGGAAGTCTAAAGATCCCTTTAAGATCATGTCTAAGAGAAGAGTATATGATGAAACTACAACAGAGAAAGATGCACTCAGCAGTACCACTTATTTATAATAATTTATTACAGCGATTTACAGTAAAGAGCAATAATAAGAAATGTGTTTCCGCATGATACTAATACTAATTGCCACTATATATGAATGAAGCTATTCCACAATCCAATATGTTGAAAGTCCCACATCGCCTACCTCATGTCATTTGGTATGGTTTAAATACATGTTAGGCTACTCCACATATTGCCAATTGGTTTTATGTTGGAACCTTAACATAGTATCAGAGTCAAAGCCTAACATTTTTCCGGTTATTGTCATGGGTCAAAAGTTGTCCTTTAGTTGGGTCAAAAGTACCCTTTGCCTGGTCCGACAGACTTCGTTGGAGGGGGTGTGTTGAAAGTCCCACATCACCTACCTCATGTCATTTGGTATGGTTTAAATACATGTTAGGCTACTCCGCATATTGCCAATTGATTTTATGTTGGAACCTTAACACAATACATTATTAATTCCTACTAATATAAACAGATTCCAACCACCACTTTTATACCAGGTATTGTTAACAGTCTTCTTGAAGATTAACAAAGAAGAGCTATAGTTTTCAGATTTAAGGAAGAGCAAGTGTTTGAATGTTTTGAAAAAGTGAACCGCTTCATTGAAGGCCAGAATCAATTTAACACGCTGCTTCTTGGACTGTTCTGTTACTGCTTGCTCTATGACTTCATCTTCCAGCATGTTCATAAGAATGACTAAAGTCAAAAACGGAACTCTTTCTATAAGGTCTTCTAAAGAATGATGAAGAACTATAGTTTTCAGATTTGAGTAAGATTAATGTTTCTAGAGTGTGGTTGACTTTATTAGTAGCCAAAATCATTGTGACACATTGTTGCATGTACTACGCTATTATTGCATGTTAATCTCTTAATCTTTTACCCTCTCTTCATCTTCCACCATGGTATCCTGTGATGCTTGAGAAGGACCTAATGTAAAGGAGTCAACTTGTGGCATTAGACTAGTCATTTGAGTCCCACATAGAGGTGGTGATAATAATTCGAGTGGACTCGAGTTCTCAAGTTGGGATTTAGGTTGTCCATAGCAGAAGGAACAGAAGACTCAACTAATGGTACATGTAGAACCTATTAGACTGAATCAACATCCTGTATAGAAGAACAGAAGAAACGAATTTGTTCAAAAAATGTGACACTTGCACACATATGGTACCTTTTGGTTTCATGAGAATAATATTGATACCTATTTTAAAGACAAGAATATTCCAAAAAACCACATAACGAACAAATCATATACAACCAACATACAAGTTGAAATATAAAATAGGGGTTCACTTACAAATAGAATGGAATAAGGAATTTTATCTTCAATAGAAGAAGGGGTCATTCTATTGATAAGAGAACAAGTAATAAGGAAAGCATCACCTCACTAATGGACAGGTATATTAACACCAAGCAATAAGATTCGAGCAATTTCACCCATATATCTATTTTTTTTCTTTTTGCTGTACTAGTTTTGTTGAAGTGTGTGAGGTAGTGTTATCGATATCAGATAAAAATAAATATCAGCAACCCAAAAATTGTTTATGAAAATATATCAGATGTTATAACGAGCTATACTGGAAGTATAATGTAAAAAATAATAAAAATTAATCATAAAATTAATAATAATATCAAATACTGAATTTCAAATAACATATAAATCAAAACAAAGCATCATCAAATTTAAGTTCTAAATTACATTATTCAGTTGACATTGAAATTCCTTGAAAATATATTAACTTTTTTAGATATATAAATTATAAAAAAATTTAGGGAGGTTGGTTGTGGCTAGAACGAAAAGAAACGAGAATAACAAAAAAAAGGGGGTTGAATTAACTGGGAATGGAAAGAGGAAGGCAAAAAGGATAAAAATAGTTTATTCACCTTGTTGCAGAAGAATGAATGAAGAATAAAAAATAAAATGGAGTTGAACATAAAAAAAATCATAAATTAAATATGCATTGACGGGGGTGGCAGCATAGATGGCAATTGCAACGACGGCAAGGGCGACAACTCAGGTGTGCGGTGAGGGAGAAGTGCAAGAGATGTGTGCTAGTCTGTGAGATTTAGGTTGGGTTGCTATCCTAACTTTTTTTCTCTTTTTTTTCTACTAGTGGACCGAGTCTCGTTTAAACCCAAAAGAAAACCCAAAAAACGACAAAACATTTTATTACAAGTCAAAACCCTAGGTTATTCCTGGGTCAGGTCGGGTCATGTAAACGCAACTCGTCGCAAGTTGTCAGGCTGCAGGAGATTTTTACCATGACTGCTCGGCAAGCCATTCCATGACAGCCAAAGCAGCAGCTATAGGCCACCATGCAAAAACAATTCATCGCCACCTTATCGTGACAGCCAGCAAAATTCATGCTTCTAATTTCCACCATGGCCGTTTTTCAATGACATTGGTGTGAGGGCAAGTAGACTACTATAAAATGTCACGAGCTTTAAAAGGTAGAGAAATCAAAGGAGAATATTCTGACATCATAACTTAAATTTTGATTACTTGACCAAATTAATTTTCAATTTCATTAACACATAAAAGATAGAAAAAAGTTCAAAACAATCTTTCATTAGATAAATCTAAATACATCTAAAATACTCATTGATGTAGGTGACAAAATATCTATATTCAAAATATTAGACACGGTTGCCCCCAAATGTCCAAATGTGGATGATAGAAAAGACAAAATTACATATTGATGTTGTTTGGGAAAAAGGATCTAACATGTTTTCCTAGTTGGCATAGCTCACATTCTATCGCTTGAAGTTTTCTAAGTTCAAGAACCATTTGCTTCAATTTTGACAAGTGAGGATGACCCAAGTAATCATGTAAAACTTAGGAGAAGGGAATGCAACACAAGATATCGATTAACTAGTTTCAAAATAGTGTAAGCCTCTAGATTCATGTCTTTTGTGAACCAATCAACCCGTACCATATTTTTTTTTAACAGAAGAATTGGTATCATGGTGGAGGATTCAGCAAACTCTTGAACATTTCTACTTTTAAGAATTGGAATACAAAGAAGTCTCCACTGATGCAACTTCTTCACCCATTTATTAAGATAAGATTTATCTGTTTTAATATTGTTAATATGATAACAAATAGTTGTTAGTTAGTTTTACTGATAAGATTGATTTGTTAGAATTTGTTTTATTTGATTGTAATTTTGTTATAGTCATTCTATATAATGACTGTTTTCACAAATAATAAAAGTAGCGAAGATTCACAACATCTTCCATTATGGTATCGAGCTTGACGATCCTAAATTTTTTTTTTCATCATGTCTTCTACAACACAATCACTCAAAATTACATATCCCACGTCACTATTTTTTCTTCATCCATCTGATCATGCTGGTATCATTCTTACCACCGTTCTATTACTTGGGCAGGCCAATTATGAAAATTGGGCACAGCTCTTACTGATAAAGCCGCAACCAATTTTGAAAATGTCACCGTTCTATTCCGGCAACTTCCCAGCAACTGTCCGACCTCCCTGTCCTGTCACTTTTTTTGCTATCGTCCGACGACTTTCCGACCACATTCCGGTGACATTCCGACCATTGTCCAACTCTGTCAAGCAACTATCCGTCGTTGTCCGCCGCCGTCAGTCAATGCGCCACCACGCACACCATCTCCATCCGCTGCAGCCAAGCACGTGCAGTCCACGCGCCGCTGTGCACTCGCCAAATCGTCACCGCACCACATCAGTAGCTTGCGCCAGAACCTCCTCTATTCGTTTTGGTGAAGTCCAGACGTCCCCCTTTCGGAAATCTCCCTAGGGCTTTCAAAATCTTTGTTTTTTTTGCATATCTGCTCTCTGTTTTTTTGTCCTCTTGATCAGAAATGGCAACTCGAAGTGCTGGAAGCGCTATTTCATTCTCTGGAAGTCTTTCCATTACTTTCGAGAAGCTAAACGGACAAAATTACCTCTCTTGGTCCGTTGCCGTCGAGATGTGGTTCCTTCGCCAGGGACATCATGACCATCTTGAGAAAGACGAAAGCCATGTGCTTGAAAAAAAGCTGAACAGTGGAACCAAGCAAATTTTCAGTTGTGTGCCTTGTTGTGGCAATTCATGGAAGACTTTTAATGTCTTTTAGGGCCTTTAAGACATGTCACTCTTTTTGGAAGAGGACTCAAAACATATATGCCAACGATATCCAACGCCTTTATGATTCAGCAAACAAGCTGGTATCTTTGAAAATGACCAATCATGATACGATCTCCTTCATGAATGAAGCACAATCAGTCGTGGAAGACCTGTGGATGTTCTTGGAGGTTGACGTTTCAGATGAAATGAAGAAGAAACTTGACAAATACTATATGGTGATGATTCTCCGCGCTATACATCCAGACTTCAACCATATCAAAGATTAGCTTCTGACCTCTCATGAGGTCCCTTCCATGGACACCTTAATTCAACGCATGGTTCGTGTTCCAACACATGGAACTTTGGAAACTCCTGCTCTAATAGAACCATTTGTTATGGTCACCACTCGAGGAAGAGGAGGACGTGGAACTAGAGGAGGCGGACGTGGTGGTCGTGGGCGTCCTCAGTGCACATATTGCAAAAGGATGGGTCACACCCAGGAAAGTTGTTACTCCTTACACGATTTTCCTTCCAAAACAGCCAATATCTCTCAGGCTGAAACGACTGAACCCAAGTTCACTGAGAACGAGTATCAAGAGTGCCTACGACTCAAGTCCAACAGCTTGGCACAACCATCTCAAGATCCAAGTATATCAACAACTTGCATCTCTCAATCCATGGAACATCACAACTCATGGGTAATTGATTCCGGTGCTTCTGACCATATCTCCGGTAATACCTCCTTGTTCTCAACCATTTCATTTCAAGACAAACCTCATTTTATAACCCTTGCAAATAGCTCTAAATCTTCCTCAAAAGGAGTCGGTCAAGTCATCATGTCTCCCTCCTTAAATCTAAAATTTGTCTTTTTTGTCCCTAATTGTCCCTTCAATTTAATTTCCTTAAGCCAGTTAACCAAAATGTTAAACTGTTTAGTAACCTTCGATAACAAATCTTTTGTTATACAGAAGCGTGGTTCGGAGAGACAGATTGGATAAGGATATGAAGCAGGAGGATTATATCATTTTGGATCTCGTCCACAAGTGTCATGTGTTGCAGTCCCTAGTCCTAAAATGTTACATGATCGGCTTGGCTACCCTCATTTGTCCAAGTTAAAAAAAAAATGTGTCCTGAACTTAGTGGTCTCCAGACCTTAGAATGTGAGTCATGTCAACTATGCAAACATGTTAGGTCTGTCTTTCCTAAAAGGTCTCAACCAAAAAGTAATTCTAGTTTTTCTATCATCCATTCTGATTATTGGGGACCTAAGCATGTCTCATCTTTTGGTTTTAGGTATTTTGTTACTTTCATTGATGAATTTTCGAGATGTACTTGGGTTTATCTTATGAAAGATCGCTCTGAATTATTATCCATCTTCACATCCTTTTTAATTGAAATTAAGAATCAATTCGAGCAAGTGATCAAAATCTTGAGAAGTGACAATGCCAAAGAGTACTTCTCATCTGCTTTTTTTGTCGTTTTGAGCTCACATGGTATCTTACTTCAGTCCACTTGTCCTCATACGCCACAGCAAAATGGTATAGCAGAAAGGAAAAATAGACACTTGGTTGAAACTGCTCGTACTCTTTTGCTTAGTGCTCATATTCCTGTCCATCATTGGGGAGATGTCATCTTAACTGCATGTTTTCTTATTAATTGGATGTCATCATCCTCTCTCAATCATAAGGTCCCTTTCTCCATTCTATTTCCAGATAATCCTCTTTTTCACATTTCTCCTCGTGTTTTTGGTTGTGTATGTTTTGTTCATGACATGCCTCCAGGGTTAGACAAGCTTTTTGCTCGTTCTCTCAAATGTGTCTTCTTGGGCTATTCCCGTCTTCAGAAAGGGTATCGTTGTCACTCTCCTAAAACAAAGAAATATTACGTGTCTGCCAATGTCACGTTCTTTGAACAGACCCCTTACTTCTCTCCATCTGTTCAAGATGTTCATGTCATACAACAAGGCCTCCCTATTCCAGTGGTTGAGTACAATCTTTCCAATGTCTCTGTCAATCCTGGTCAAAGTCTTGATCAAAGTCCTCCTGAGCCATCATCTGCAACTATTCATACACCCCAAATAGTCTGTCACATTTTCCAAGAACATGGTGAATCCCCTACTTCAGATGTTTCCCCCTCATCCCTTGATACCACGACTCCTGGTGAAGGTGATTCAGGCTGGTCCATTGCTCTCAAAAAAGGTACTCGTTCCACTAGAAACCCATATCCCATTTATAATTTTCTTAGCTATCACAAATTATCGTCTTCCTATTGTTTCCTTTTATCTTCCGTATCTTCTGTTGTTATTCCAAAAAATGTGAATGAAACACTTGATCATCCTAGATGGCGACAAGCCATGATTACAGAGATGCAGGTTCTTGAACACAGTCATACTTGGAAGCTTGTGCCCCTCTCACCGAGTAAGAAAGTTGTTGGTTACCGATGGGTGTATGCAGTTAAAGTTGGCCCTAATGGTCAAGTTGATCGACTCAAAGCTCGATTGGTTGCAAAAGGATACACTCAGGTTTATGGTCTTGATTATTGTGACACTTTCTCTCCTGTGGCCAAGATAACTACTATTCGTCTCTTCTTTGCAATGGCAGCCATTCGTCACTGGCCACTTCATCAATTAGATATCAAAAATGTCTTCCTCCATGGTGATATTGAGGAAGAGGTTTACATGGAGTAACCTCCTAGGTTCGTTGCTTAGGGGGAGTCTAGTATGGTATGCAAATTGCATCGTTCTCTATATGGCCTCAAGCAATCACCACATGCTTGGTTTGGAAAATTCAACTCCATTGTTCAAAAATTTGGGCTAAGAATAGTGAAGGAGACCATTCTGTCTTTTACTGTCATACATCTCTCGTGAAATGTGTTTACCTAATAGTATATGTTGATGATATAGTCATTACAGGAAATGACACTACTGAAATATCTCAACTAAAGGAGTACTTGTGTAGACATTTTCAAACCAAGGATCTTGGAAGCCTCAAATACATCTTGGGCATTGAAATAGCTCAGTCAAAAGATGGAGTTGTAATCTCTCAAAGGAAGTATGCTCTTGATATATTACAAGAAACAGGCATGATTGACTACAGACCAGTAGATAGTCCTATGGACCCAAATCAGAAGCTAACGACAGAAGAAGGTGAATTATTCTTTGATCCAGAGAGATATAGGAGGCTTGTTGGAAAGCTAATTTGTCTTACTATTACGAGACCTGATTTATCTTTTGCAGTTAGAGTGGTTAGTCAGTTTATGCAGACTCCATATCTTGGACATTGGAATGCCATCATCCGTATTTTAAGGTACCTCAAGAAGGCTCCTGGACAGGGTTTACTATATGAAGATAAAGGAAATGTTCAAGTCTCCGGGTATTGTGGTGCTGATTGAGCAGGCTCCCTTATTGACAGACGCTTTACTACAGGATATTGTGTCTTCCTTGGAGGAAATGTTATCTCATGGAGAAGTAAGAAGCAAAATGTAGTGGCCCGATCATCCGCTGAAGCTAAATATCGGACAATGGCGTCTCTCACTTGTGAACTCATATGGGTAAAGCAATTTCTTCAGGAGCTTAATTTCTGTGAAATCCAGATCATGAAGATGTACTGTGACAACCAAGCTGCTCTCCACATTGCATCAAATCCAGTGTTTCATGAGAGGACTAAACACATAGAAATTGTTGAAAGTCCCACATCGCCTACCTCATGTCATTTGGTATGGTTTAAATACATGTTAGGCTACTCCACATATAGCCAATTGGTTTTATGTTGGAACCTTAACATAGTATCAGAGCCAAAGCCTAACATCTTTCTGGTTATTGTCATGGACCAAAAGTTGCCCTTTAGTTGGGTCAAAAGTACCATTTGCCTGGTCCGACAGGCTTCGTTGGAGGGGACGTGTTGAAAGTCCCACATCGCCTACCTCATGTCATTTGGTATGGTTTAAATACATGTTAGGCTACTCCACATATTGCCAATTGGTTTTATGTTGGAACCTTAACAGAAATCGACTACCATTTTGTTCGAGAAAAATTAATGTCCAAGGAAATTTGTACTGAGTTCATTGGGTCAAATGACCAACTTGCAGATGTGTTGACCAAGTCATTAAGGGGACCTCGGATTGAGTTCATTTGCTCCAAGCTTGGTTCATACAATTTGAATGCTCTAGCTTGAGGGAGAGTGTTAGAATCATTACTTCATAGTATTATCATTAGACCTAAGTATAGGGTGTTGAGTGTGGGAAACCTCCTACATCTGTATCTAGATCTGCACCTAGAGTCCTAGTTGCAGTCTCTTAGTCTTCTATGTTTCATTATATCAGATTTCCATTATAAATAGAAGAAAGGGAGAAGGGCCCTATAAGCCCTGAAGATATATTTTTTCTCTATTAATCTTAAGTGATGCTAACCAAGATAAATTACTCTTTCCATTGAGCTTTTCTAACATAATGGTAGGAAAGCCTAAAAAACAATATGCTAGCCCAAAAGTTATTTCTAACCAAAAAAAAACAAGGGTAAAAAAGGAACCTACAAAGAGAAAAAGGGAGCCATAGTCAACCTGCAAGGGAGAGACAAATAATGGCTGGCCTAGAATCATGGAGGGATGGCTATCACACATCCAGTGGGACAATGTCACTCCAACGAGAGAAGTTGGCACACGGGCTATGCCCTTGATTTGCCTATGAAAGAAGATGCATGTGCTAATGCATGACACAATTTTTCCTTTAGGACTAACAGTGTTGACCGTCGCTTGAAGAGGCACTCCATATCCGGTGGACGCCAAAGCAAACTATGATAGTGGACAATGGTCAAACAACATTTTCTTGGCTAAAAAGATTAGGCAGAACAAGATCGACCAACTCTGTTACCAAGTGAGATAAATAGAAAGAGAGAAATTTTAGAGGGCTTGTGTAGAGTCTCTCTTAGGTTCTCTTATATAGAAAAGGAAGTCTCAATCTAAAATACAATTAAAGAGAAGAAAGAGTAAAAAACAAGTAAAGACTCTAAAACCCTAGGTGTAACAAAACTCATTTCATTTTTCCTTCTTATTTTCTCCCATTTGTCCATACAGGATTTACTATTACTTAAAACTAAAAACCATAGTTCATCATTCTTCAACATTGTTCAAAATACTAATAATACAGGCAGAGCACATTAACAAAGGATGAAGTCCCTACTAAATTAAAGAAAGCAAGTATAAAAAAATATTTAAAAACCAAAGTTCAAACCCAATAGTCTTCTATCCCAACCAACCATCCCTCGCCACTTGGAGATAGTAACTATTAAGTTTATAACAATTTATAAAAGTCAGTATTCATCATTCTGTCCTGTATAATTACAGTCTATGCTCATTCTATAATTATCTCATCAACCCAAACCATTTTTGAAAATCCTATATCATAAATATTGGTTTCTCTTTAAACAAGAATAAATACTGACAACATTACATGGCATAAAAGCATGCAACATTCATTAAGATGCTATGGAAGATTGAGATAGCAAGTTACCTGCGGAATAAGACTCTTAAGATGTTTTTCCCATATTAAATCTCCTTTTGGAGTCCATACAGCAACATTTCCATGTGTATCAGCAGTAACTAATTCAATTTTCCCATCATCATTAACATCAGCTGCAGCAACAGATCCTTGAATCTCGGCCATTTCAAGAGGAAACTTCTCTCTAACATTACCTGTTTGAGAAAAACAAGTAGCATTTAATATACCAATGTATAGATACATGAAACTTGTTAAAAGAAGATATCAATCTTGAGTTTTGACAAAAAAAGGTAACAACATTGCTAAAAGAATTTGTAATCCATAAAAATTGAATACATTCAGTCCACCAATCTTATGATTTTAGACACAACATCCAAGAAAAAAAAAAAGGTTTGTAAAAATGATAGACATCCTTCAAGGGAGGAACAAAAACATGAATACCAGAAACATTTACAGAGGAAAAATAAAAAATTAAGGTGACAAAAATCTGAGAGAAAATCAATGAAGACAACATACAAAGCCTGAACAAACATTTTAAAATCAAGTAAAGAGAACACTAAGAAAGCGATCTCTAGACATTACCATGATGATCCAACACATAAAACAGGCCATATGAAGTTCCAACAAGAATGTCAAGATTCCCATCACCATCCAAATCTACAACAGTTGGGGAAGAATATATGTAGGCTCGGAAGTTTGAAGTATCTGTACTCAGATCAAGTTCAGCAGTCCATTTAATTTGTTTGGTATCCAGATTATACACAACAATACCACCAGCAACATATTTTCCAATGTCAATTTCACCCAGTTCTTTCCGATGCTCCTCGTTGTCATAATACCTGACAGCTTAAAAGATAGAAAATTACTGACAGAGCAGTAAATCAACAAATACTCATTTCTAATAAAGACTACACCAATATAAGTACGAAACCAGTTAAATAATTTTTCAATCAATATTAAACCATATCGTATTGGTTGTAATAAAATAGTAAAAAAGAATAATGCTCCAAAAAACTTGTCTGACAAAAATAATATAAGTATGCCAGTCTGGAACCAAATAAATGAAGAGATTATTGAACTATTTTAGCTTAAATAAAATAGTGTGATGGCTTAATCTCTCAAAAAATTTCATCTTCTCACAAATTTTCTATCCATAAAAACAAATAAATAAATAAAAAAATATGTTTCACACATGTTCTTTTTGCAGAAAAATAGGATTAACATCATTATCAGGCAACACATTACATCTCCAGAGCTTCAATTCATGTGGCTTTTATTCATATGTTAAGTAACATCATATGTTAAGTAACATTCATATGTTAAGTAACATTCATATGTTAACAAAAAGGGCAAAACAAGATCATATTTATCATAGTTGCATCCTTTTGTTTTATAACATCATTCCTTTGCCCAGTTTCCCGCAACTTAATTTTGACATCTTGTAGTTAATTCTTGATACACAAAATCAAAAAGACTTTCTTAATAATTAGTCATCTACCTGTCAAGAACAATATAATAATACATTTTTCACTTTTAGCTATCTGATAATGTAAAAAGCCACAAGGTGTTGCTAGAAGCCCAGAACACTCTACACAAAATTGGCTTCCTTTCCCAATACTGCCTTTCCATACAGATCAAGTTGAAATCATCTATACTAAATTCATTTGTCTGCAAGACAGAAGTGTGTGGGGAATTTTTCTTCATCTATTCTTTATTTTACGATGATATTCAACCAGGCCTCAAAGGTTTAAGAAAAAGTGACAAAGGACTGATAACAAACTAAAGAACTAAGATAATCATTCACCTTCCTAGATAATAAAAAAAATTGTTAACCAAGATGCATGTATTGAATGGAAAATAAATAAATAAAATCGGAAAACACTTTTTGCATTCATGTAAAATTCGTAAAATATCAAATACATCTCCCAAAAATTTTGTACTATTTTTGTCCCCCGAAAATTTAAATACATTTTTCAGTTCTTTGTTAATGACAATAGATGAAAGCTTACATGGATGGCAATGTTAACATGGTCTTAATACTACATCTACTAAATCACTTTTAATTATAAAATTCACATGTTATAACTGTCATCCACATCAGCTTTCCGTCCTTGTCATTACTAGGTAGCCAAAATCGTGTTTTGAATATAGATGGAATACTACAAATGGACTCACTCGTGATCAAAGAAATAAGAAACAGCAACAATCATTTCTGAAACACCATCGTTGTCAATATCTGCAATGACCTGCAAAAGACAAGAAGACAACTAAATGGACAAGGCATTGTCTCTATACATTTCTTTCTTAGGACTAAGTAAAATGAAGATTTATTAGATTTTATAATGATAGAAAGGTAAACTCACAGGAGTGCACAAGATGTGAGAGTCAACATTAACAAAATCCTCTAATTTATCATGCCTTACTTCAGTCCATTCTTCATCAGCCCACATTGTTTCATCTACATAATCATCATAATCATAGCTATACTCATCAGCCAGCTCTTCACTATTACGGAATAACTCAAAAGATGAATCAGCATCTGCTTCCAGGCCTTCATCATTTTCTACAGTTGCAGCATGAATACCCTCTTTATCTTTGGATTCAAAACCACCTTGCTCTGCTCCTTCGGAATTCTTATCCTCCAGCAAACGTCTCCCAGTGTTGGTTTTACTATCTGCGTGAACAGTTTCCAGAGACCCAGTATTTACAGAGGAATTATCAGCATTTGTTGGCACCTTAATACTCTCATGAACTTGACTTCCATTTGTTTTCTTTTCTGGCTCAAGATTAGGCACCTCAATACTCTCATGTACTTGACTTCCATTCATTTTCTTTTCTAGCTCAAGATTAGGAACCTTAATACTGTCTTCCACTTGACTTCCATTTATTTTCTTTTCTGGCTCAAGATTAGGCAACTTAATACTCTCATCTACTTGGCTTCCATTTGTTTTCTTTTCTGGCTTAAGGTTAGGCACCTTAATCTCATCTACTTGACTTCCATTTATTTTCTTTTCTGGCTCAGGATTAGACAATTTTGTCGTGTCAAAGTGGTTTTCAGTTGATGTGGCAGCTGAAGATTTAGCTTCATGACTACTTCCATTCATTTCTACAAGGAGAATCATTACAAAAAGGTTAAATTAATTAAATAAATGTACATTTAACAACATATGAAGCCCAAAATTGTATGCAGTTGTTGAACCCTGTGATCAAATTATTTTATTAGGTTAATGATGAAAATATGAGAAACTCTAAACCATGCACTTGCACAAAAGTGATCTGAGAACTAAGCACAGGAATGACTTACGAGACATAGAATGCTTGATAGTAGCATCCTGGACAAGTTGGTCATCATGAACATCAGGGTAAGAACGATCTACTGGGTCAGGATCCAAGCCCACAAACCACTTTTTTGGCACCTTCCTACGCGGGACCTCCAGCTTATCTGACATCATATAGCCCGAAACCCTAAAAATGGTAAATCATTACAACCTAGATAAAAGCACATCAAGTGATTGGTAATTGTTAATAGAAGCAAAATTTTAGAAGAATGAAAAAGGAAAAAGTCACCTGAAAAACAGCACTTCACCATTGTAGGTTGCCAAAGCTATTTCTCTCACCCCATCTTTGTCAATATCATATAGAAGAGGACTAGAATGCACAGTTGATTGGTGGAACGCAGGCCAGCCTAAGAACCATTCAGAATATTATGTTTATAAAACTCAAAATCAAACCTCAAATAATCTATCACAATAATAACAAGCATTGATTCTAAGCATTAGCAATCAGTTTACACAAGTCTGAAAAACATTATCATCGATCCTTTTCAGTATCCCCTCCCCACCACCATCTTCTATAGTAATATAATAGAATTATGGGGATTATTAACAAGTTACAAGTGCTGGTATCAAGAACTAAAGGCCTTATTGACAAGAATTATAGGTCATTCAAGACCAAATCTGTTTTCAGGACCAAGAACAACTATGCCTATGTGGTACTTTATTGCCAAATTAAACATATCTCAAGCCCAGACAAAAGTATATCAAATATTTCATGATATTAATCATTCAGCATTACTAATTATAGGTCATCTTTAGCCATATCAATGTCTAAGGCATCATGTAGCTCTAGTAAACTGTTGCATAAGCTAGAACCAGCACATTACCTTCCAGAAGTGGTGGAAAATAGGCACAGGTCAATTGCAGTTACTAGAATAAGAACTCATGACATGTTTGGGATAAGTGACTACTTTAGAATTTATAGCTTCTCTCTGGTTACAAAAGATCTGTAGGTACTCATCTTACCTACTCATAAATTCTCGAATAAACTGCAAAAGTTATTCTGTCTGAGGCCAAACCCCTTTTAATGACAAGCCTATGTACCTCCATATTATCAAATCCAACCAACCTTAATTTATCTACAATAAAACCATAATAAAATAAATATCATCAAGGGATGGATCCTATATTTTATCCTCTATAATTTTGCAAGCTCAACCACATCATTGCCCCAAGCCTATCGCAATAAGAAAAAACCCCAGAATCTTTTACCTGGCATTTTGTCCCCATCAGCACCTTCTAGAACCTCGAGGTAGTGAACAAAAGAGGGAACCACGATCTCAAGCTTCCCATCACTGCAAAACAAAAGGGCTTGACAAAATGAAAATCAAACAAACACATCACTCAACAAACAGAGATCATAAACAACTTACCTATTAATATCAGCAATCAAGGGGTTTGCATAGATGCTTGAACTGACCTCCGTTTGCCATCTGAGCTCCAAATTCTTAGGACACTTCGAATTCATAAGTGCATCCTCATCTCTATCGAAGCTCATAAGAAAAATGGAAATCAAGAGGAGATTATTTACAAGTAAAACATTTACATACAGCTCTAAAAATACTCAGGAACTGTTTGGTTCCCTTCCATGTTTCTGATGTTAGAAACCGTTTTCTAAAACAATTTAATTCTAGTTAATCGATTTATCATAAAAATCTATTAAATCCTAAAAATTGTTTCTCAGACAAATTTTTGAAAAAAAAAAATAGATAAGGACATTTTTTCATTTTCTTTTTTCAGTTTTCATTTTGTTCAACTTCTCCCTCCATTGCATACTCTACTTTGCGCCTCACTCTACTCTTATCAGTCGACTAAGCAACCTTGTTTAGTTACATATTGAAAAATATATAGCGCAAACCCTTACTACGAAGATTATAAGGGTCAACGTCAAACTCCAATTCTATTAGAGAGCAACACAAAAAGCACTTACTTGTCTTAATCAAAATGTGCGATTGGTTCACCATATTATACGCATCATTATTCTTTTTAGCTCGGAAAAAAATAGAGACTAGTTCCGGAATTAAACAGATTACCAAACAGGCCTTAAAATCGAAAGCTATTAAGCTTATGCACGAGAGTATTACATTTCGGGATATCCGAGGGAATCTTCGGAGGCTTCACGCTCACGGAAGCTGGTTTTGCTTTTGGAATCATTGGAGAGAACGACGGTGGCGGCGTGGTGGAGAAGCAGCAGAGGGAGCAGAAGAAGAAGAAGAGGCTTGATCCGCGAGCACGGTTTCATATCATCTGCTGTTGAATTAGGTCCACCGGATTGGTGAGTGATGCAATTGCGTTCAGCTGAGTGGAGCGACAATAAACATTTGAGAGCGAGATTGTTCGGAGAAGGTGAAATGAAACCCTAGCTAGCGCTGTGGCAATAGCAGGGTTTCGGGTCTAACCGATCTGCAAGAGGGAGAGAGATAGAGTTGACGGTGATGCAGAGAAGGTGTTTGTAGTTACATTACAGCGCAGTTTAACCGCAGAAAGGGATAATTTGTGATATAGGTTAAAAAAATTTGCTTCATAACAATTGAAAGGAAAGAGTGCAATTAATTCTCTTTGTTCCTGGTGTCATCTCTAATTTTTATAGGAAGACTTACTCATTTTATATTATTGATTTAGTAATTTATTTTTTTTATTTTATTTAATATTTAACAATTAACATATTGGTGAAAATTTAAATAGAACGAAATTACAAAAATTAAAGTGTTAAAATATAAATAAATAGTGCGCTTATTTTAAAATTAAAACATAGATAAAAAAATTTCTTAAAAAGGAAAAATATATTATTGTTTGATAATATGGTAATTAAAAGATATTTTGAAAATTTTGAAACTTTTTTTAACCAGAAATTTAATGTCCCTAGATAATGCATTTTAATTACTTATAAAAAAAATCATTTTATTGAAATAGATAAGAAGAGACATGACAATCGATTCAACGGTTTAACCATCCAAGAAAACATTAGTGTAAAGATCAGCTTATTATTTCCAAAAATATTAATATGTAATTAAACCGATAAAAAATATAAAAACTAATAAAACTAATCAGAGTTTCAATTAGTTTAAGTAACATTTTAAAAAGATGAAAAATTTCTTTTTTTTCCAAGAAAAATATTTTAATTATTTTAAAAATATATAATATGTTTTAATTATTTTATCTTACAGAAATTTGGACTTTAGATAGTAATTATTTTATTTGATTTTCATCTCATTTTTATGTCCTGATTTTACTCTCTTAGTATATTTTGTATTTGTGAACTTCCTTATGATTTTTGGGCAATGTGATGATTTCCATTCTTATTATAATTGCTTTCTTTTCTTTTTATAAAAATTTTGAATTCATTTAAATATCAATTACACTTTTAAATCTTGATTTTGCATCTTTAAATTTTCTCTATTCCAACTTTAAAATGTTATAAATTTTAGGATAATAATGATATGTTTGATTTAATTTTGTTTTTCATTTTTTTAAATAATTTTAAAGATTAATTTCGTATAATTGTTTTAAAAATAAATTTAAACAAACCTGTTTAATAATTTATATATAAAAAATATTTTGGAAAAAAATATATCAACAACGACGAAATGTCGCACATAAGTTAAAAAATAATTTTTATAATTTCATAATAATAAAGGTAGATAATATAGTACAGATATTAGTGAAGACGTAAATGCTCTAATAAAAAGAAAACAGAAAATAGTTTAAAAAGTTGTTTTTCCAGTTATCAAATAAATGTTTTAATTTTTAAAAATAAAAAATTGTTTTTAAAAAAAAACTAGACCTAAATATTTTGAACAATATAATACTATTAAAATAAATATTTATGAAATAAATTAAAAGAATAAAATAAAGCAAAAGATATATGAACCAAAATTTATATCTAACTATATAGAAGATTCCAGTAAAACATGTACAATAAATCGTCTTCGTAACACTTTGAGCTTAGATATTGGAAAGATCAAACAATATGAATGTGAACTTTTACAAGCCTCATGAACAAATATAATTATAGTAAAGAATAATATATATTACACAAAATTATAATAATAATAGCAATAAAAATAATATGATAATGACAATATATATAATAGTAATAATAATATATAATCTGTTGATATTATCCAAAACCTAAAAATTCCTAGCCATTCAAGTATTTTAAAATAAGACCACTTATCAAGATTTAATTAATAAATAATTGTTATTCATCTCCGTTTATTTGTACTACTAAGAAAGTTGTAAACATCCCACATAATAAAAAAATAGAGGAATCTCAATACATAATATCCCATAAACAAAAATAACCACTAAGAAAACACCCTATGTAAAAACATAAAGGATGAAGTTTAATCTTTCTATAAATAAGATATCGAGCATCTTCTCTTTCGATTTAAAAAAAAAGAAAAAATCAATTCATTTCATCTTTCGTATATCTTCAAATTATAACTTTATACTCATTTTTTACTTATTAAAAAACATTAGATGTTTACCTTATATACACATTAAGTATGGAACTCTGACATAACCAAGACATTGATTTTGTAAGCCAACAATGACCTTTTCTCCAAATTTACTGAAGTGCAGGATTGACTCAAAATATAAAACTTTTAATGATTGTGTTAAAACTTTAAATATATATCCATCAATTAAAATAATTTATTAATAAATTAGAAATAAACTTTTTATAAAAAAGTTTGATAAACTTTTACAAATTGTTCATAAACAAACTTTAAGTTAATTTTTCTTTAGTTTTTTCTTCTAAAGAAGCTTTACCTTCTTTCCTAAAGTGCTTGTAGATAAGTTTATTTACCCAGACCTATTTTCTTTGGTAAACATTCGTTTAAGTCCTCATCAAACTTTCTTTTTATCAGCACCCAGTGATGATGGAAATTTTCATGCATAGATTTGTAATTAGGCCTAACTTGAATAGACAGAACATTTTCTAATAAAAGAAAATACGAAACTAAAGGAAACTGTTGGAAGCAAAGTTCAGGTGTAAAAAGAATAGCTAGCTAATAAAAAGAGAAGTGTTGAAAATACTTCACTTCCATTCTTACATGGGATTTGATGTTGATTCATCATTAAAAAAATAAGGCTACCAAATTAACACTAGTTTCTCTCCACACCAATTTATCTGAACCTAAAACATTCGGACCACTGCCAAACAGTTGACACAATGGCCTCTCTCCACATCCTTCCAGAACAGTAACAAATTAGGTAGATTTCAAGAGCTACTACTAGTAGAATGAGTAGCAGTCATTGGGGTATCGTCAAAACATGCCATGTAACAATCTGATTCAGGCACCGATGACGTAGCCTAAATGCATGATAACTTCCACACCCACAGAACATTAGAGAGAATGGAATGCTTGTTACTACTACTCAAATTAATATTCACATACAGGGGAAATTCTACCCATGTAATGGAAATTGACTCTAAGTAACGGCTAACCTGGACAACTTAGAATCACTAAAAGAAAATTGATAATATACATTGAGATTCTAAACCTAACTCTCTTGATCTGGACAACCATAGGAAATGGATTCAGGCCGGAATTTGAGCCGTATCAACTCAGCACAGCAGTACTTACCACGGCGACTAACTAATTACACAACATAAGCAACTTTTGGCCAAAATACATAGCCAAATCCAATACAATTTTCATACAAATCCCGGGGACAAATATCAGCGGATACACTTAACTTGTTTTCACTAGATGTCATGCACTACCACCAATGAAAATATTGGAGGCACTTTTGTGCCTGATCTAACCACCACCATCACCTTCGCCTTGCGACACTAGCATGCTGAGTTGCTTTACTGTCATTTCTTATCCTGTCAGCATACATGGGAAGGCGAATAATCTCACTTATTTCATTCAACAAATCTTCCTCAGTGATGTTGTCTCTAATGCTTCGCATCACCTATAAAGAAAAAAGTAAATGGCTGAAAGCCAAGCACAGATTAAGAAAGGGAAAATTAGATAATAAGAGTTTGTATTAGACCTTCCTGTAAGTATTGAATTCATTAGGAGTTGATTTATCTGTTCTGATTCGCATAAACTTCCATTCCAGTTTATCAAAATCCCAAGAACATTCAATGATCTTTCCTGAATAAATTGAGGGATCTGAACCATCTGCAGTGTTCAAGTTTTCAGTGAGCAATTGCAACAAGTGAAAACAAATTAGACATACAGTAGAAAATGAACATTCAACAAAAACAAAACCAGACAATCAAAATTATATCAGAAAAGCGGACAAAATCATTCACTGACAAGCATAACTAAAGCATTATCCAGAAAACAATTCGATAAGAACTGCTGCCTTCGGCAGGGGGGATAGATATTGATTACTTACTATTACCAAAATTGCCAGTATCAACTATAAATTATCGAATGAACATGAGTCACATTCAATAACAAATAATACTATGACTCAGACTTTATACTCTTATTTTACAAAAGACAGCACTTACAAAAACAAATAGAGTGAAGCACGAACAAAAATTATATCTATTTCAATGTGGAATGAACAAACAGATAAATTAAGCTAAAATTGTCTGACCTGTGAATTCAACCCTATTCCCTTCCAAGAGTTTCTTTTTTCCCCGTTCATAAAGAAAAAGCATCTCACGATCACCATCAACCTGTCAACTCAAGCAAACTACAAATTAGTTGGCTGCATCAAACATCACAAGTAATATCACGGTGATGAATGATGATAATACCTCAAAAAGAAAATCAACCGAATTCAGATAAGCATATTTCCACTTCAATAGTCCTTCATGAGTACGTGGTATATAAGGATCATCCCAACCCTGATAATCAATATTTGTCAGTAGCAACCTCCACAGAGTCCATTGACAACACAAAGCAGAGAAAACAATAAAAAAAAAAAACACACACAATGTTCATTAACAGGGATTTGGAAGAAAAATGGACCATGTGCCTGACGTATGAGGTAGTCTAGGTACATTGGTCCCCTTTTCCCAAATCTTTAATCAAACCTAATATCAGTTTTCAGCCACAAAGACATTCATTCCCATGCAGATTATGTTGCAGAGGTATGTATCAACAGATAGTGCAAAAGATCCACGGATTTTAAACAGAATAAAATGGAAAACAAAAACAAATAACAAAAAAAAAGTTATTTGCCCACTTGATACAGAACAGAAAATCTGGTTTCCATATTTAATACATCAAAAAGGTCATTGATCACACAACCCACCTGAAATATAAGACCGTCTGCCTCATGTGAGAGTCTTTTAATGAATTCCTTTAAAAGCTTTGTGACAGTAGAGAGCAACCAGAAATCTTTCCTCCTCACCTAAACAACATTGCAAGCATATTAATTGAGAAGCCCCAAGGGAAAACTGCAGTGAAGCTTAGAGTATTTCATGACCAACTAAGGTTAGAGATCCATGCCCTGAATGGTTCCAGATCATATCTATAGTAAGGATTTCTGCTCTGATATATATGGTGCCGTTCGTGATTCCTAGGTTCAATCACTTCCTTCTCAAGCATCTTCCATCTTTCATAAAAGGGTCGCTGCACAAGTATGTTTGGGCCATAAATCAACAATCACAGCTACAAAAACTTGATATCAAAGACTCAAGGTAGGCAATAAAACAAAGAAAATAGCATATACAAATAAGAGAGAAGGAAAGTTAGAACGCTTCAAATTATAATTCATCAAACCAAGATTTTCCACCAAAACACTTTAAGAAAGCCTCACTCAAAATTTCAACATAGCATTATTCAAATAAATTCATTCCGCAAATGAAAATGTAAAATTCAATTCTGCAAGTCTGCAACCAACATTAAGCATTAAACCTTTATTGACCTTATTTGGAAATTTCAAATGATAATCACTCTTAACTGATGCATTATTGATGAACCTTATTTGGAGACAACTCTTACCTGACAAGTCAATTTTGCAAGGTTGAGTTAGGTACAAACCCACATTCTAAGATTGTATTAGAACCTATCCAAAATCCATTAAAAGGGTACAAGTGTACTTATAAACCATATTACTCACACATCAAGCCCAATAGTGTTAGACATGAGGAAGTGTACTAGCATCAGCTAAAAATAGATCCTAAAAAGAGTATATACGAAAGTGTCACTAGTGGCCCTTTTTGCTTGTGCCCAAACCAGCTAACTAATTTCTTTTTACCTTCTCAATAAGTGTTACAGCCAATATCTCCTTATACATAATCAGTTTATATCATTTCCTTTCTTGTCTGACTCCACACAACCATCTTAACATTCTCATCTGTTTTACTCCACATGTTTGTTCTTATTACCCATTTAGAGCCCAACATTCACCATCACATAGTATAGTTGACCGCATAGCAATATGATAAAACTTTCCTTTGAGCTTCCTAGTCACAAACAATAGCTAAAACCTTTCTCCGCTTTAACCACTCTGCTTGTATCATCTGCCATACATCTTCATAAATTTCACCATTGTTTTGTAATATTTATCTCTTTCCTTAAAAATTTGAGGTATGAGATCCACCCAGTGGTCAAAAATAATTTTTTTACTAACAACTGTCAAAATGATATGAGCATTTTTTATTACAATCAACCTTAATTTTACTCTCTGAAAAATTAATGCAATTTCCTTTGCAAAGAAAAAACCTAAATTAATAAGAGAATGAATAAAATGAACAATCTCATAACAAAAACAAAAGAAAGTGTTACTTCAAGTACATAGTGAGACAATAAAGTCAGACATTGGTCGAAATTCATCTGCCAGTAGTGACAATGAGAAATTCTGTTTCAAGGCACAAGATCTTGAAATTAAGAATCGAGTTGGGCTACAATACAATTTTAGTAATTTTCAACAGTGCAAACAAGTTAAAGATAATGGCAACCAACAAACATGTGATTTCTAAAACAAAAAAGAGATCATCGAATATTATTTGTGTGATTACATATAAAGTATAAACCTAACCTCTATTATTGAGACTTGGTTGATTGCCATCATATCATATATAAGATATCTTCTCTCCTGCTTCTGTGAATCTGGCAATGTATCAATAACCATTTCACCATCAAGTAATGTGTAGTGGTGGGTCTTCTCACCCAAACCCTAAGAACCCGAAGATAACAAAATATTAGTTTGCGCATCATCAAACCTCGAGATTTTGAGATAAGTAGTATATCTCTTGTAACACATCGATCTTATATATAGTATAACTAAATTTAATCAAGGAGCTCAGCCAATAGACTTACAGCCCAATCACAAGCTAATTTGTACATCAATCATCATAACTAATATTGGTGAAGGAATTCACCTAGATGCTATACATAACACTCTCACTCAGGTAGAAGTATGTAGATCATATCATATGCATGATTACAGATGACGCAGACAAACTTCAAAGAGTATTGAAAATGCTCATCCCAAAGAAGGAGACCAACGGTGACAGAAATAATATTCAGGTAGCGAAGTTCACAACATCAGGTGGATGTGGAGTTATCAGATGGTGGCATTGCAGGTTATAACCAGTAATACCCTTTTTATTTCTGGTGAAGGTTACTTACTGGTTATCAGAGATAACTCAACAGCAGGCATGTGTACAACTTTTGAAAACCAATTAAAATAGGAGGGGAAGGTAGGGGAATGGGGAACAATGAGAGAAATGCACAAATCAAATGAATATGCTGCCAACTGGTCTCTTCCATATCGGATAGTTTCAGCTATAACCAACATTATAGTTGACAACGGTATAAAGAAAATATCCAGAGGTAGTTCTTACTGAGGTTGTTAAGAACAAGCCTCTGATGATGGAGATGACTGAGTTGGAAGCAATGATCTAAGACTAATTATTCTATAAGAATCAGGTCTTATATTAAAACATTTTTTAGCACAAAGTATAAAGATGTGACTAACATGCAGGACCCATTTTAAGTTCTTACATGGTTTCACTACAGGAGTAAAAGTTCCTGAAGTTCTTAAATCTAATGTCACATAATTGGACCCACTTGAACATGCTTTAACAAACAAATATTATAAAATCTAAGAATTAAGTTAAATCAACTAACAGATATATCAGAAATTTGGAATATAGAGTAGCACACGTACATCATTTGTACTCCTGCAAGGAAACCTCATTTGAACCCTCCGAAAGTTAAAACTCCTATCAATTAAGTAACATCCATCCATTGTTATTAGCATCATATATCTTGTACCATCTGCTTTCCATGTTGCATAATAATAGCGTTGTCTTAACAATTGTAAATTATCCCTGCAACATAACCAAATTCAAAATAAATTTATGGAAACAATTGTCAGATTAATAAGCAACCTGGTCATGAAATCAATACAACTAGCAATTAACAAATCTTCAATAGTGCATGAATAAAGTACACCTTCAGCAAGAGATTTAGTTGTCAAAATAACCAAAGAGATATAGTTTTTTGGGTTTGCCGGATGGACATATATTTAAGAATAAAAATTAGTTCATTATAATGTACAACCAATGTCTTGAAACTCCAAATCATTTAAAACTTGCTTATTTGAGTAATTAATAGGGTAATGAATATTATTTTTATGGCATTTAGATAAGGTATGTTTACTGCCTTTTTATGTTATTACAAGAATTTATAGGGTGTATTTAATGCTCCTTAACCAAGTTCCCTAAGTGCACTTGTTAACAAAACCATATTTTTATTTCACTTCTCTCACTAACAAAATAATTATCTTCCAGCAATGACATACAAATTTCTCACCAATTACAATTTCAAAAAACAAATTAATAAATAAGCAACAAAAAATTAGTGATAACTTCATATACATGTAACTATCCAAACCTCCTACGCAGAATCTCATTTAATTGATGAGTATACAAATGATGCATTCCTTCTCAGTGAACCTCTACTCACACAAATCATGATAAGGAGAAAGTTATATAAGGATGACAACTTTAATTTTCTGCTTGAATATCAAAGCATTTAAGAAATCATTCCATTAAGTATTTTATAAACAACTAAATAGAGTATAAAATAGTTAGTTTACAATCTTTGAACATGAAGATAAATAACAGGGTATAATTAAAGGTCCCAAGAAAATTAACCGCAGGACAAAATCTATTGAAATAATATCTTTATATCATTCTCAATGTCATGCATTAATTATATTTTGAGACATTTAAGAAAAAAAATGGACAAAAATATGCATGTTAGCAGTACAATGCAAAGTACTATGCACGAGCAGATGATGTTCAATGCAAGATATACAAGTTAAGTAGCAAAAGAAATAGCAGCCACGAGTTTAATGTATAATTAAAGTAACATAAAATCAGAAAATGTTAATGGCTCATATAAACGGAACCTGTTGAGAGAAACTGGGTGTGAACCTGGAAATTGTGTGTGTCCCCTAGCCTGCATATCAGTAACTAGTGAAATAGCTTTGCCAAGCATAGGAGATACATGAAGTAGGAAAGCAGCAAAAAGTAAAAGGAGAAAAAGAAAGTAATATAAACTGCATTTCTTGACTACTAACCAATAAAGCCAGTGTGACAGACAAAAAGACACAGGATCAAATTATAACATAACTAGCAACAGAAAACTCACCGTTAATTCCTTTATTGTAATGTAATTGAACAAAAAACAAAAAGTCGCAATGAATTTACAAGTGAAACGTTTTGATTGTAAAAGTTCTCAAATCTAAGCAATACAAAGTGCATGAAAGACAACAATGCAAAAGGCTTACCCCGGGAACCAATTTAAGTGTTTGATAACAGAACTGACGCAATGCATCTTGCTGATCAGAAGGTATCTCATCTCCTAAGACATCATCATTTGTCATTCGGGTGTCTGTCTCATGGTTCTCCTGAGATATATGCCATGTTTAAAACATGTTAAATAACTAAGTCCAATATTTCTACATGAATATTGTTGATAGTGGAAAGAAACAAGAGACTTAAAATGAAATCCTGCCCATAATTACTCTATTTACATTCATTCTGCAATACAATAGGGATAACTCTTAATTACAGAGATCATAATCACTCGCAAAACAAGAAAACAAAAGATAGAACATGAGGAGTCTACCCCTCCAAGCCCAAAGACCTAATAACTCAATAAATAGATGTATTCTCCCCAATCTTGGCTTCTAGCTTCTAAGCTGGCAACAACTGATACAATAACAATCCACTATACTGGTAAGCTGGCAACAACTGATACAATAACAATCCACTACACTTGTAAGCTGGCAAAAACTAATACAGTAACAATAAACCAAAGGAAGTAAACCAAAAAACTACATGTTATGTATATACTATATCAGTTCCCCACAATCTCGGTGGAAAAGTTAAGAGAAGCTGAGAACCCTGAGTATGTCTGAGTAGACAGAACTGAGCCTTAGCTCAAGGTTTGGTGAGACAGCTTCTTTCGCAGGTATCAGTGGAATATAAAGAGATGGAAAAAAGTAACCATAAACTATGTCATCTACGTACTCAATAACTAACTGTTTCCCTTTGCTTCCTACTCTCCTTGCCACATAGAGTAGGTTGTTAGAACCCAAACTCCTGTTATGCCCCATAATATCTATCAATAGAAAAGGAATGAACAGAATACTGCATATTAGAGAAAAAAGCATATATGGATCAAACCAAGGTTACCAAATCAAAATTTCAATCATCAATGGGCAAGCTAATTTATAAACATGAATCGTAATTTCAATCAAATTGTAAGATTCAGAGACAACGAAAAACACAACAAATATGCCATAGATCATATATAGTTCCATCAACGTAACCACTTTAAATTTAAATTTGAAATAGATAAAATCATCATAACCAAAAGTTTTAAACTTATTAATTATATTTGAGTTTGCAAGGCAATTATTTTAAAAGTATGGAAACAAAGCAATTAAATAGCTCAATAATATCAAACCCATTGTGTGAATTATCCATACCTGCAAATCAGGGCCAGGTACTCCATCATCATCATCATCTGGAACAGCTTCACCATTGAGATCAAATTCTGAAGACCTCTTCCACTCAGGAGTGGGAGGACAAACTACCATTTCAGGCTTTTTCTCATGATAAAATGTGTACAATGCATCAATGTAATCAGGTTTGTAGATACCAGGAGGACGAGCTTCAGAAAATATTTTTATTGCCTAAAAATGGACAAATCAAGTATTTTTATTAAACTTAAACAACAACTTGAACATGGAAACAAAGAGAGTAGGGGGAGGAGAATCACATTTAAAATAACTCCATAACTGACCTGAGTAACAGACATTGACATAGCACGCATTAGATAATGGATGATCATGTACCCTGTTCGATTATGCCCATGGGTACAATGAACAAGTATATACTTCTTTGACTGTTGTTTTTGATTTAACAAAAATTGTGAAACCTGGAAATGTAAATAATTGCATGGTTAAAAACTAATAATCACTTGTAAGATCACATGGATAACTTCCATTAGTGTAAAGTCCATGTTCTTTTTTAAAAAAAATCTCAACTAGATAAAGGGGGGCTGCGTAGTTTTCTTTATTGATGTTTTCTTTACTCTTTGTTGATTGTTTTCCTTTTTCTCTTAGTAGAACCACTTATCCTCCGAACTCATGCAACATGTTTCTTTTGTGCCTTAATGAATGATTTTTATCAAAAAAGGAAGAAAGAAAAATTGTGTTTTCTGATGAGACGGGATAAAGTACAACATTTTTCCTCACAGGACAAGAATTGGATGTAATCTGGTACCAAGAATAGAAAGCAGAGGCACAAGACAAGACATCAAGTTTATTAAAACAATAAAAAATAAAAATAAACAATTGCTAAGGTAAGATGATATTTGAGTTCAGTGATACTTTAAAACAAAACAGAAGTTCATGTTACTCAATGATTCTACAGAAGAAATTCTTACAAAACTTTCTTTCAAGGAAAGATTATATTGAATACATGCTAAATAGATTTGAAAGTATCAAGCACCTCATTTCTGGAGCATATTGCAAAGGTAATAAGATGTTTTATTTCCTACAGCCAAAAGTAAACTACAATCCAAGGAATAGAAAATCCAAGCTAAATTCTTCTACCTAAATAATTATGAAAGAGAACAAAATTATAATCTAAAAAAGAACAAAACCTCATAGACGAACTGGTTCACAGCTAAATTATCAGGTACAGAATCGCGTCCCCTGCACTGAATCTAAACCACAACAATGGTCTTCAAATGTAAGGACAAGAAAGAGGTGTCACAGTTTCAAAGGCAAAATTAGTAAATGTTGAATGGTGACTAAATTATGGCTACAGGCAAACCTTAACATGCTTGATGCACTCTTTCTTTAAGTCTGACACAGGATAGTAGCGAGAGGTATTTGTCAAATCAATCACCAGACCAAGCTGCAAAACATGAGATCAAAATGGGAAAAATAAAGCAGTGAATTTTATGCATAATATCTCTTTGCACGATATAGAACATTAATTGTCTAAATTGTTCTGATAAGGACAAACAGCAGTTATTGTAAATTGCAATTAATTGGTAAACAACAAAAATCAATGACAAATAACAACAAAAAACATACAAACAAAAATCTGAATGAAATGCTACATTTTTTGAATAAATTCTACTTACTTTTCTCCCTAAAACTCTCTGCTGATGTATCACTTGTTTAAATGAGTATCTTTTACCCGGAAGAATGCAATCAGTGAAAGATTCACCAAGTGGAACCTTGGAAGGTATCATGCAAAAAATTTCCTGGCCAAATGAAGGACAATCCAACCATCCTGTATGTAAAGAATAATTTTTTTATAAAACAAGTGTAACTTGGGTCAGAAACAAATAAATGCGTGTCTGTCTGCATTTTATAAATTAAAAAAATAGTTTTCCATTGGACCATTCAATCCAAAGCCCACCAAATAAACAAAAACTTGAAATTAAACATTTAGCCAAATTTGCTCCCCATAAACAAAGGTTATAGAACTGAATACAATCGGGTATTAAAGACAGATTATGCTAGCCAACCAAAAATACACCATATAAATATGGTATGCAGCATATGGATGAATGAAATATAATGTGTACACACACACACACACACACACACATATATATATATACAGAATAAACTAATTTTTCCTACAAAATCCTCTAATGATCATTCTATTTCATTTATATGGAAACTATTGAATGCATTTTATATTTTCAACACAACAAATGCATTATTTAATTTATTACATTCTTTATTAGGAGGAGGAATACTAGCATTACACATATATTAATATTAATATATAAATAACAGAAATAAATTTTGGAAAACAAAAGAAAAAGAAAGGCATAAAACTAACAATAACAAGAATTTCTAGACTTCATACAAATGATATCACAACCCTATGTTCAAGACTTCAAATAGCAACAAAATTATCAGAAGCCATGGTGGTCAGGTTGAACAGTCAGAGACTCAAGTGAAAAAATAGATATCCCAAGAGGTTGACAGATATTTGTCAGAGTTGCCGGGAGCTGGGTTTGTCAGAAACCAACAGATGCTGAGTGTTGTGCAGGTCCATTCAGTTTCGGTGTTGGTGTAATGGGGTTAAATTTTGTAGGGGCAGTTGCTGGTCCAATCATATGCTTTTTCTTTTCTTCTTTTAGGTTTTCTGATATAGACTCTTTATTGAAGTGTTATGACAGGGATTTGGATAGGTGACCCAAGCTCTTCTATTCTTTTTCATGGTTTTTAAGATGTTTAGGGCATAGTTTCAGGCCAGGTGACCCAACCCAGACATTTTTTTCTTTTTGGGTGTTTACCACTTTGTTTGGGTTCAGGTCAAGTCACATGACCCAGCTCCTTTCCTCTTTTCAGAAGGAACTCAACCATAGTCGTTGCAATTACCATCAACAGTTCCTGACTACCATATCCCATATCAAAAGAACATGCGATGCCCCCACCATAGAATGGCAGTCTGTGGGATTTCCACCAAAACTTTCTCCATAGCAGCGTCATAGCCTCTTTTGTACAACATTTACCATCCACAATACATAAACCCACAAAAAAAATGTCACAAGGATAAAATTCTATTAAGATATATCTTAATTTAGCATCACTAGTTATTACCAGAAGCAAGGCAGCAAGTGCTTCATGAAAGAAACTCTTACCTGAAGGAAGCCTACTTTTATCATATGATTTATGGTTCTTAGCAGGAAATAGCTTATCATATCCAGGTGACTGTGACACATGAACAGGTCTGTCATCTGGCCGTTCTCTCTTCAACCGTCTCTTTCTTTCTTCACGCTCCTAAAACAAGCAGTAATAAAGGAATTGTGAAAATGAAAAGACAGGTAAAAACACAAACCAGCTTCAAACTCTTATGCCAGATGTATGATTGGTTTCTCAGAAAGAATTATTTTTCAGGAATTCATCCTGCTCTAATTAAAACTTAACACATAGCACAACAACAATTTTTGAAGTTGTGGTCTTTTTTAAAATATCTATCAATTTTTTTCTGCCCATTATGCACAATTTTGGTTTGGCTTAATTATACCCCAAAAGAATCCGACTAATTTTAAACAAAAAAAAAAAAAAAAACATTAATTCACACACAAAAGCTGTCAATATGTAGAGGAATATGAAGATAGAGGAAAAACAATTCTTACAACTCAAAGCCTAAATTCGCTTAACTCAGATACTCTACATTACACAATATTTGGCAGTAAATTTTGAATTACCCCAAATTCATTTATTCGTTAATCATAGTCCTCCTTTATTGCAACTAGGTAGCCAGCAAAGTGAAGTATTTAATGCAATTACCACCATCGCCTCATCAAAATAACCAGCCAGAAACATGCTCAACAACTAACAAACTTATACTATAATGTCTCGGGTCATAAAATTACAAAATGAATTCCTTCTCCTGATATACATAACTGCATGCATTCACAAGAATACATGATTTTTTTTTAAATTGGTGGAGTACTTGATTGCAATTGCTGATGCTGCTGTAGTATTGGCATAGCTCCTTCGATAGTGTTTGGCCTGAATTTTTGGAACTTTAAAGTTGAAGTTACAAAAAAGGGTTACATCGCTTGTAACTCTATTTAACCATTTAAACATGAAAATTAACTTTTGAGTTAAGATTTCCTGGGTACTGGGTTCTTTGATTTTGGGATTCAAATAAAGAAAAAAGGAGAAGTAGAACTGAAGTCAATCTATATGAAGATTTCACGTAGTTTGCAATGAAGGTGACAGCAGAAAGGGATTTCTAAATTCACCGAGCCTGAATGAATTGCATTAGATGCTTTGTTAACTGTTCAGCACTAATATTAAATGTTCAAATCATCATCATACCAGAAAAACTAAAGGGATCACGAAATTGTGCAAATATTATTGTATGGATAGTATATAATATATCCATCTATCTGGCAATCAACAAGCATTAAATGTTCATTTCCAGAGCATCAATTTTACACTATGGTAGAAAATATAGGATGTTCTATACTGGCTGCTCATAAAAGGTTTTTTCAAGTATCACCTTATCACCAGTAAAATTGAAATGAAAAATAATGAGGCCCATAACATGTACCTCGCAAACACACAAGTAACAATTAAACCTGATGAAACTACGTAATGATAAAAAAAAAAATCTAAAAAGTTAATTCCATAATATGAGGAAGTACCATCACAGCAGTCCTAGTCCAAGGCACCACATAGCCAACAAACTAGGTCACTGTCATGATAATAAAAAGGGATAAGTAGACAAAAATCTGTATATGAAGGGTACCCGGCGTGCTATATCAGCTCCAGTTTCTATGCGTTCTTCAGGCGCATGATACTCTTGAACATGTATCTTCTCCTCCAAAATATCTTCATCTTCCTCTGGAACCGGCGAGGCATTCAAGTCCATTGCAACAATCATCAAGCATCAAGCAACAACATTCGCCCGCCACAGTATAAACCTTAATGTCCCACAACAACCTTCTGTGCCAGTAATCGCAACAATCCTACACCATTCAAAAACAGAAAACTCATTAAACCAGCTAGCCACAATTACTGCAACTCAATACTCTACGAGCTTATTGTCCTCAAGAAAAATGTAAAATGGCTTCAACTATGAAATGCTCAATTAATCATGGAAATTAATAAAACTAACAAAATTACCCAAAATCAAGGTTCTCGTAATAGACGCCAATTTCCAAATACAATTTTTCACAAAATTTTAAAAATGAAATTCCCACCTCGCTTCGCGTTCTCTCACATCTCCCAACTCTGAGGAGCAACACGTAAGCAGAATCAAAATTCACAGACACATCAAAATTCACGGAAACGCAGAATTTAACAAAAGCGAAAGCACGGAAAAGTCGAAATTCACAAACCTAAGCAAGCAATCTACGAGAAACGCGGAGATTCGAACTTGGTCGATCACGACTGTTACGTAATTCGCGCGAAGACGGAACCCTACAATCGTGTTGAGCAGAGAGAGCGAGAGTGAGAGTTCGCGTCGAAACCCTAGAGAGAGAAAGTAGAGGTGGAGAGAGAAGGGGCTTGTTTGTTGGAGTTAGATAGAGAGAGAAAGTGAAGTTTGTTTGTTGCTTTGTGTTTTTAATTATCGAATAAGAAGAACGATGGCACGGAGAGAGAGAAAGAGCGCTTAGCACTTAGCAGGAAGAGGTCGCAGACGAAGAGATTCGCGATTCCTACCTACGTACCAATATAAATAATCAGGGTTAAATTTTTTGAATTCAATTTTTAAATTTTAAAAACATATTTTCAGTTTTAGTTTTTATATTTCTTGTTATTTTTCTATAACATTTTTTTCTTCCTACGACCTGGTATCACCGGTAAATAACATCTTTTTCTTCCTGCGTGATTAATTATCACATTTACAGATTTTTATTTTTATTTCCGTTTATTTAATATGATATACTAATAATTATTAAAAACTTATAATAATAATTACAAATAATTAATATATAATTTAAGTTTTAGCGAACTTTAACCCACAGTATTAAGTTTATAATTTAAAGTTTTTATATCATTATAATTTTTTATTTATTAAGATATTAATTTGAATTTTATAAATATATAAATAGGTAAAAATAATATATAAGGTTATAATTTAATTATACTATATCTAGTATTATTATATAATAAAAAATAGAAATATATTTTTTTAATTTTATACTATATCTAGTATTATTATATAATAAAAATTAGAAATATATTTTTTTAATTATGACACATGAAATACATTATAAATATTAGAAAGAAAATAAGGTAAACAAAAAATTGTAAATAATAAATCCTATTTTTGTAAGAATTCGATAAGCACTTTTTTTCTCCTAATCTTTATCTCTATTCTCAAACCCCATTTTATAGCTAAATTTTTTTCTTTTCTATTTATTTAATTAGTCCATTAATAACTAATGATTACTTTTAAGATAATATTTATCTCTTCACGAGATAAGTTAGCTTTATCTTTATATATATATATATATATATATATATATATATATATATATATATAATTATTATTATTATTTTTAAAGATGTAATTAATAATTAATATTTTTTATAGGAGAAAATTAATATTTTCTTTTTTTATCTTTATAAATTAAATAATAATAATAATTTTTAATAAATATTTAATTTGTTTTTAATAATAATAATATATATTTGTAATAATTTTTGTTTTATTATAAATATATTTAAATTATTTAATAATATAATTTAATATATTGTATTTAGAAGATTTTATATGATAAATTTTTGAGGTGTTATAATTATGATTAAACTTTGTGAAACTAGAGCATTATACTACAATGTTAACCTATATATCAATTGGTGAGAGGTTGTCCAATATTATATCATCTAATGAGATCAACTCATGATGAAAGCACCTAACACCTAGTAGATCATCTAATGTCCAAAATCGTTTACTTTTGATAACAAAGCATTTGATTTGGGTCAATTGATTATCCACAAGTCTTAATAAATTACTTAAAATGTTGGGTTTAGTTAATTGCAAACAAACTTAATAATTACCTATATCATCCTCTTGCCCTCATGGAATGTTGAATATTTTTTACTTTATTTTAAATAATGTCATCATTATATGTTTAATATAATTCAACAGAGAGAAAGTAGAGGTGGAGAGTGGAGTTAGATAGAAATATAGTAAAATTTGTATGAGCTAATAAGAATAATTAAAGAATAGTAAATCTAACTTTTTGGATTAGGAATTTTGTAATTTCTTGAAAGTCAATTTCTAGTTCAATCATGATATAAACTAGTGATAAGTTAGTTTTTATTTGATTTCAAATATATAAAAAGTGTGACAAGTATGTCATAGATTAATTTTAATTTTTTTAAATGTTTTTAATAAATGTTTTTAATAAATGTTTACTTATTAATATTTTTATATGTTTGAGTACTTTTTTTTAAATAATAGAAAAAAAATTAAAAAGCAATTTTGTTCTTTGAGATATGATCATGTATAGTATGAGATAAATATTACTTACTTGACTACACCTTGGTAAATATTCAAGATAACCATAAGCTTACTTAAAAAAAAATTCTAGGGAATAATTTGTTATTCCATAAAGGTTAGACACACTATCTTATTAAGTAAAACATTTTAGGATAAAATATATTTTTTATATAAGAACTATTAAAAATATTCATGCTTTAATTTTTTTTTATATGATTCCTATGCATTATGATTTACTTTGTTAACTTGCTAGTTATTATTATTAAAAAAAATTGATAGTTTCATGTCATGCGATACAATAAATTGTGAGTATATAATTTTAAGTGCCATGTAAGAAATAATAACATTTTTTTAATTTTTTAAGACCACGTGTTATTGAAATGTTTATAATATATTGTTTTAGTTCAACTAATAAACAAACTATTATGAACTATAAAATATACAATCACTCGTGTTTATTTTAGAAAGGATTCCAAATGAAGTTAAGAAACATAAACCCTAAGATGGATCATTGTCATTCTCAAATTGATATCGTGAGTCATGAACCTTATGTCTCATTTGGTTCTTGTTGACTGACAAAATTAGATATTGAGTAATATATGATTATTCATATAAGTACACGACTAAAATTATCTAATTCGCAAAGTTTTCCTTTGATCAATTGTGATAAATGTCTTCCAATATATTTGGTTGGAGAAAGTGTCTTCCTGGTAGTTGAGAAGTTTTTGTAACTTCTCATAGCACAAGAAACCCTAATTTTTTTTTTGAATTATCCAAATTGGAAGTTAAGGTTATGAGTTTTATAAATACTGTTATAATTTTTTTTTGTGATATTTGTGTTTATTATGACAAAGAATGGTGCATTGTGACAAGAGTATTGAAAGAAGATAAGGAACTTATGTAATGTTTCTTATTAACATATGAACATGTTCTTTAGTGGGACCACATAAAAGTAGCATTATCTTTGCTATTGAAAAAGTAAACCACATAACACCACTAATTTTGTATCAAATATGAAATACAAAATATAACTAGTATGAATTTTGAATAAAAAATAAAATATGAGAAACTTAAATTAAAACTTGTAAATAATCAAATACCATTTAAAAATATGAACTACATAGAAGTAGTACTAAGTGTGAACGTGTGACTACATAGAACATGCATTAAGAAATACAAAATAGAATTAATATTGATTTTGCATGAAGTATCAAATATGAAAAAATAAAATAAAAACATGTAAATAATTAAATACCAATTAAAAAATGATTGTATAGAAATATACAAAACACAACTAGTATTTACTCCATGTATTGCTAAAATAGATTGCAAAATTTTTTCTATCTTTTATTGAATTTTTTTCATAACTCAATAAATAAGTTGATAAGCCTTGATTTTACATCAAATATGACATCAAATTATGATATAACCAAAAGAAGCAATATATTCATGTTTGTTTTGATGCAATCAAAAAAGGGATTTTACATCATATGATTCTACTGTTATTGTTTCATATTACAACAAAAAAAGCATTACATATATCTAAAGTTTCATATTACAATTCTAAAATATCCCTATGAAGTTTTAGATATAAGTCTTTTTATCATAAATGTTTGCACCAATGTAAAACCCCTCATATATAGTTTTGACACTTATTTTGATTAGTGTTGTCTTAAATGTCGTAATTGGTGTAGATTGACTATCTTTAGTTACCTATATATAGAGATAATGCTAAATAAGGAAAAAAAAAAGTATGAAACTATTTCTAATAGTAAAATAAAATAGATTATTATTGTTGAACATTGTTCACCATCTATAATTGATATTTGTACTACATTAAGTATAATTTCTTACACGTTCTTTAATTATGGCAAGTAAGACCACATTTATTATAACTCACCAACTTTTTAACCTATGAGAACCTTTGTTTGTTCTTCTTCCATGGAAGTATTTCATCTGGTTCTCTCTTTCTAACTTGCTTAAGCTTCCTTGGTCCCTTTTGTATATTGGTGGTAATAACTTTGCATCATCTGATTTTGGCCACAATTATGGTATATTGATAAGGCTAATTGTATGCTCATATAACACAATTGATATAAAGTCTCTATAATAGTATTTATAAGAGTAGTTGTCTAGTTTTCCTTTAATGAAGTTGATTGTCGATACAATATGTTCTTACAAGAAATGTCATTTTATATAGATTACAATTAAAAGTTTGTCCTTGTAGGTTAATCACAAAATAAACATGTTTGTCACCTCAAAAAAAAGTGGTCCATTTAACCATGTGATCAACTAATTATTACTTTTTTCAACCTCTTTCTTTAGTCTTTTTAAAGGATTTCACATAATATTATCATTATATTATTTTTTCTTAAAATAAGGTGACTATTCTCATCAAATAAGTTTTTAGCCATTCAATCATGGTGATAATTAACTTGTTTCTAACAATATTAAATAATTTATTAAGGTTATTAATCACCACGTCACATTTTTGCTAACTAAATATATACTTACACCATGTAGTGCTATTCAAATTTCACAAGCACTAATGTGTATTCATATTGATTTTATTTATTTTAACGTGCCAATTAACCTATCTCCCATCATAAGATCTTTTATCAAATTGCTTCGTTTAACGCTTTTCTTGAAGTTGTTATATAAATGTTTTATACAATTTTTATAACCATTCTAGCCATATGTTTGATCGATAAGGGGAAAAACCCTTACAACATAGTTATTTTCAATTAGTCGTATGTAAATAATAACTCATTTTAAAAAAAAATTAAATTAGTATTTAGATGGTAAATCTTACCTTTTATTAATTTGACATAATAACTCATTTGATTTTCACTAGACAACCAATATCATCAAACAACCCTGTCAATAGCATATCTATGCTTATGTTACCATTGACCTCCATATTTTGTTTTTAAATGACAATCATAACCTTCAAGACAGTTGAAAAATTACTTTACACCCATCTAATATAAACATACAATCTATTAAATCTAAGGCGTAAATTTGGTGCGAGTCATTGGCAACTTAACATTGATTCTTTTACAATTTTTTTCTGAATTCATTAATATATCACCACAATTTTTTAGTATTATTAGTCACCATCTCCTTCGATCACAGTCAACAACCTTTCTTTCTTTAAAAAGAATAAATGTTGTAATTCTCACAATAAATTTATTTTTAATGTCTTCGATACCTTCATATTTATTTTTAACTTATCAGCAATGTGTTTGGTTATAAACTTTGATTTACCACTTTTTCTCCATAATATTCTTGCTTGCATACAAATATTTATTTTAACTGTGTTACCCTTCCAAACCTTGACTAAGTAAAGTTACTATTTTTTTTTAGATTCTATAATTTTTTTAATATTAGATATTAAAAAAATATTTACACTAAGTAAAAACATAATTAAAAATAGGGATACAGAAATTGCGAAATTAAAAAAGACGTTTACTTCAGTTTTTCCGCTTTAGCGTTTGGAGGACCAAACCAGTCTTCAACTTCTCGCGCACACTTATCACCTCGTAAGTTACAGTCCCTCTCATTTCATGGCGCAAAAGCGTTTCAAATTCAATGGTAACCTCACAGCTCTCACCTGCATCCACATTTTATTCTTTATTTTTTTCCTATTTTTATCTTCCTTTTTTTTACCATCTCACCAAACAGAGACCACACACAAAAATTCCAACATTATTTTCACTATTTGATTATATGTCCGTCAGAGGATGTTCTCGAGCAGCTGAGAAATGGGACTGCGAAGTTCGAGCTTGTTTCTTCCCCGGTTCCTTCAGTTGCTCCTCCTCCTCCTAAGAACAACGCAAGCTTGTTTGGAATTGGGAACCACAGCACTCTCTTTTTCGCTAGAATTGGCTCATCCTTGTGAGTTTTCCGTTTCCCCTTTCGGTTCGTCTTTTTCTTGTGCGTCTATTTGTTATTTTAAAAAAAATTTAACGCTGAAATATGTTTTTAATGTATCTACGTGGCATTCATTTTCAATTCAGTCAGTTCTTATATGAGAAGAAAATGTTATTTTGTTCCTATACTTACTATCATTTTTAATTTAATTATCTCTGTTTATTGTCGTTATATATAGTAGTCAATGAAGTGTATAGGAGGATGTGTGTTTGGATAAACAGCGTATTAAGCACTTTTTAATAATTATGTTTTAGTCTTGATTGTGGAAGCATGCTGAAATAGGATTAGAAAAAATTATTCTGATAAGCTTCACCATGAAGTGTGTTAAATTAGGTGGTTGAAAAGAAGCTTACAGAAAGGTTATAAGCCACTTTCTTAAGCCAAATAAGCTTTTCATAGATGATTTTAAACTCCTCCTAGATTAAAAATGAGTTTCATATAAATAAGAGCAGAAATACTATAACTTTTAGTCCCGTGACAGTTCCTATACTTCATAATAATTCCTTGTTAATCTGATGGTTTTACAAGGGCAAGATATGGTGAAAATAACATTAAATACACGAATGAATAACTCCTTCTGTATTGGATCCAAATTTACAATAAGTTTCACGCAGTGCAAAGGGTAAAAAATGCATTTTAACTTATTACTTCTATTATTGTTATAGCTGTGGGGAACCAAAGTGGGTCTATGTTTTTGTCTCCACATTTAGTCCATAGTCACTAGAAATTTGTATCTTAATTTCATGAATTTATCCTTAATAAGGGGCTTTCAGAACAGATTTGGTTGATAGAGTTTAATGCTTTAAAAAGGTGGATAATATTTGAACTCTTTTCTCAATGCTTTGGGATTTTGATGAGTTTCACCCTCACTATGTCTTCAAAGCGGTGGACACTCTCCAGCAATGAAGAAACTTGAGCATTTTTCAGTCCAGAAGGTTACAGGGGATGGGCGGTGTCTATTTCGCGCACTGGTATCATTTTTTTGTACCTTTTGTTCTAATCACTTTTGTACTTTCTTGTTAGTGGAATTCAATATGATGTTTGCTCTGGCTATCAGGACGAAAAGTTTAAAAGAATTATGAGAAGGGAATCCAAATCAAAGTAATATAAAATTTAGATAATATTACCTAGACTACTCATATTAAGTTTGAGGTTATTGCTGAAGGACTCCTTGTCTTTAGTGCAGATAATATGTTTGGAATTGCCTGCAACTACACAATTAATCTGAAATCCTATCATACCCACAAACCTTTAACAGCAATGCCCAAGATACTGAATATACATCTATATTATTTCACTATTCTTCCGAAAGTATACAAGCACCAGGTCAAACAAAGATACCCCAATAGGAGCACTCTCCTTTTCACACCGGTAATATCCAGTACTAATTTTTCTCGAACCAAAAAAAAGTCCTGCCACATACAGCTGAGGACCTATTTATTATGTCCTCACTCGCTAGCTGAAATAACAACCTACCAGAGACACCAACTAATTACAATTTTAACCCTTTATTTTATTTTCTTCTAACATATACCTCTAAAGGTCTTTCTCATTCTCTATTGCCCCTATTAGTTCTAACATAATATAATTAGCCTTTAGATCTAGAAGGTTCTTTGTATGGCACTACTCTTCGATAATAGGTCTAGAAAAGTTGGATGGTGAATAATCAATAAGTCTGGATAGTGTCTTTATGGAACAGATCTTTATTTTTCTGTATTTGAAAGATTTTTTTCTTATAAATTGTATTTATATGAGTTGTAATGCCACATTCTTTTGACCATATAAATTTGCTAAATATAAACTGCTCAATCTCTTCATGAGTTTGAGCTTCCACCGTGCAAGTTTTTCATATTGATTTAGTTCGTAAGTACTAACATTTGATTCAATGACATAAGGTCAAAGGAATGGCTTACAATAAGGGAACAGTTCTCAATCAACGTGAGGAGAGAGAAAATGCAGGTATGCTGATATACTACTGGTGATATGCATGCTGATACCCTTACTGTTGTTTGTTTTGCTTTCCATTACAGAATTACATTATGTGAAACAGTTAGGGTATGATAGGTTTGGCTGCTTTTGCTATTAAACTGGGCTTCTTATCTTCTTACTAAGCTTATTTTTCATACCTTATGACCTTTTTTCTCCTTTCTCTTTGTTTTTCGTTTCTTGTCACTGTTTTGCCTTGTCGTGATGGCACAGATGAATTAAGAATGGCTGTGAAAGAAGTTCTATGTGAAAATGAAGGTGAACGCAATTTATATGAAGAAGCCCTGATTGCAATCACAGTTGATGAGCCTCTAAAACGGTATGTTTTGGAAGCATTAACAGAAAATGAAGATCTTGAACTATATTGTTATTTTGTATTAAATGTCATAATTAAATGTGTCATTTTCCAGTTACTGCCAACGGATTGTCCGACCTGATTTCTGGGGAGGAGAATCAGAGCTACTGGTTAGTGCTCCCTTTATGCTTACCTCCTAAATATTGCAAGCTTTACTTTCTTATATCATTTATCTTATAAGGATAATGCATTTCATAGCTGGCCCTATGACTTTACATCAGTTTAATTTAAATATTTCTTAGTGGATCTTCTAACTTTTAATTGTAATTTCAATGTCATTCACGTCTTTTTCTTTGCCCTTTTACTTTGTTGAGTTATGGTCTCTGAGATCTTGCATAATGGATAAATTTATACTTTTCAGAGCAAAATGTATTTTAAAAATAACAGTTGAATGGCTTCAAATTGAAGTGGAAGTTAATGGACCCAGTGAAGAAATATTTCAGATATTGAAGTGTATTTTTCTGGCATCGACGAGTCAATGACTTTTGCCCACAAGATTAATCAAATATTTCACCTCGAGTGTGTTTGCAGCTGGAGCTGGCAGGTTAATCAGATATTGGAACCGATAAAGCTTTTATCTCATTAAGGAATGGGAAAATTTTACCGTCTTGAAATTAAATGATTCAAATTTTAGAGAACATACGTATTTTAGCTTGTGCATTGCACGTACATGTTTCTTTGTGTATAATCAATATTCATAATAAATATGTTTAATATATGTTGGATATTTAACCATTGAGAAAAGTTATATTATGAGTGTCTAAGAACCCCCATTGAAAGTCATTGCTTCTTTTGAGAAGTTGGTCATAGTTCTTTAGGTTGAGTGTTTACAGCTGGATGCACAAACCCCGTGAATGAAATGTCAGATACTGACCAATGACAATATTCTGGCAGGTACTCTCAAAGTTATGTAAGCAGCCAATCATTGTGTACATACCAGAGCATGAGGTATAGCTTAAACAATTCTTCTTGGTTGACATTTATATATTTTATATGGGAAGGAAGAGCTTACAATTAGTATGCTCCGATCCTTCTGCTGGGTATAGTCATATTTCAAATGCTACAAGGTAGATTAATTTTTGGCTTAATAAGTATCGGATCCCCAATATCTAACCCATTTTTGTTTTGAGTACTCAAATTTTGTTTTCTTCAAATTCGATAGTCAATTTTATACAAAAGTTTGGCTTAAGTCCACGAAAATATATTTATTTATATTTTGTTCCTATATTATGTTAACTGATTCAAGTGAATCCTGAATTTTAGTTCCTTAACTTATTTTTTTAGCATCACAAGATGACGTATCTTGTCAGAACAGGTGACAAAAAGGACTTGAGACATATCATTTCTTAATATTAGAGATCATGTGACAAGTGTTTCAACTTATCAAACTCGTAAATAGTAGAACTAATAGTGATAACATCGATGAGATTAACTGAAATATGATTTTTTATTATATCAATACAAAGAGATGATATAAGATATATACAGGAGACCTAAGCTATTTTAGGAAATATAATAACTCTATTTTATGCTAGGATCCCTTGATATATGGGATTGTTCCTAATTATTCAAATCTGTACAGATTACAAGGAAATATACAAATTTCCTGATTTATTCTTTCCTAGAATACTATTTGATTTCTCACACTCGCCCTCAAGTTGGTGAATAGATGTTTTCCATTCCCAGCTTGGATACAATCTTCTCAAAATTATGGCAGCCCAGTCCCTTGGTAAGAATGTCTGCAATTTGGTTTTGAGAGGACACATATGGAGTGCATATCAAACCACTATCAAGCTTTTCTTTGATGAAGTGTCTCGTCTACTTCAATATGCTTTGTTCTATCATGCTTGCACTTGGGTTGTGGGCTATACCGATTGCTTGACTTATTATCACAATAGAGCTTCATAGGTTCTTCCCACTTTATCCTCAAGTCTTCTAAGATAATTTTAAGCCATAGCAACTCACATATACCTTGTGCCATGGCTCGGAATTCCGCTCAAGACCTTGGACCGAGCCACTACACCTCGCTTTTTGCTTCTCCAAGTCACAAGATTTCCTCCAAGAAAGGTGCAATATCCTGTAGTTGACCTCCTATCCACAATTGACCCTGCATAATCGGTATCGAGTATAGGCTTCAAGCTTCACATTACCATTCTTTTTGAATAGAATCCCTCTTCCCGGAGTTCCTTTAAGGTACTGTAAAATTACGTAGGCGGCTTGTAAATGAGTCTCCTTTGGGCTATGCATAAATTGGCTAATTAAACTCACTTGCATAGGCAATATCCGGCCTGCTATGCGACAAATATATATAAGTCTGCCCACTAATCTTTGGTACATATCTTTTTCAACAGCAACATCTTCTGCATTTCCAAGCTTTAGGTTTGGTTCTAATGGGGTACTAGCAGGTTTGCAAGCTGCCTTGCCAGTTTTCCTTGAGCAAATCAGTGATGTATTTTTGCTGAGATATAAATATCCCTTTCTCGGAGTGGGCAACTTCAATTCCCAAAAAATATTTTAGTTTTCCCAAGGTCTTGATCTCAAATTCCTTACCTAAGCATTGACTCAATAATTGTTGTTCTTCTTTATTATCTCCAGTTAATATTATGTCATCCACATACACCAATAAAATTGTTACTCCCCCTGACTTGGAATGTTTAAAAAACAAAGTATGGTCCCCTTGGCTTTGTTTGTAACTCAGACCTGTCATAACTTTAGTAAACCTGCCAAACCATGCACGGGGGGACTGTTTTAACCCATATAATGTCTTTCTCAACTTGCAAACAGTGTTGGCAGCAACATCTTTACCATATCCCGGAGGTATCTCCATATAGATTTCTTCTTCAAGGTCTCCATGTAGGTAAGCATTCTTAACATCAAATTGTTCCAAGTTCCAACCATAATTGGCGGCAAGGGACAATATCACCCTAACTCGTGTTCATTTTGGCAACCGGAGCAAAGGTCTCCAAATAATCAACTCCATAGGTTTGGGTGAACCCTTTAGCAACTAGTCTTGCCTTATATCTCTCAATTGATCCATCAACCTTGTATTTCACTGTATAGACCCATTTACATCCAACTGGCCTCTTTCCTATTGGTAAGGTGACTAACTCCCAGGTGTTGTTCTTCTCCAATGCCTCCATCTCTACATCCATGGCTTGCCTCCATTTTCACGTCGGACAATGCCTCGAGATAGGGTATTAGGTAGAAGTACGGTGTTTAGGTTTACTAGGAAGGTTTTATGGGTAGGAGAGAAATTTTTAAAGGACAGGTAATTTGAGAGAGGGTAGAATGGCTGTTTGGTGCATTTTCTTGTTCCTTTTCTAATGGCAATTGGGAGGTCAGGATCATTTTGGGTTTCAATTTCAACCTGCACAGCTGGAGAAAAAATTGTTACCTCTTTTTGATCCTGGAATGACCTTAGTCTTCCTTGAGTACACTAGCTTCTTACCAAATTTTCCAGCTTCAACATCTTCTTGATCAGCTTCACAATTAATTTCACTTTCTTGACCAACTTCCTTTTCTTGACCAATTCCTTGACTTGTTTCATTTGTTACAACTTCAATTTGATCTTCAATTTGATATCGTTTAGGTTCAAATATCAAGTCTGGAAGAATGGGAAAACCAGAATTACTACTTTCAATATGATTTCGTTTAGGTTCAAATGTCAAGTCTGGAAGAATGGGAAAACCAGAATTACTATTTTCCTTATCTTCCTTGAAACTCTCCCCCTGAAGATAAGGTTGACGAAAATAGCCCTCTTGTTCATTGAAGGTAACATCCCTAGACACAGAATTTTTTGGATGGGGGGTGGTAGCATTTATACCCTTTTTGAGTGGGTGAGTAACCAACAAAGACACATTTTAAGGCTCTAGGATCAAGTTTCCCCCTGTCTGTACTATGAATATGGACATATGAGATGCACCCAAAAACTCTTGGTTTAAGATTATTTGTAGTAGACAAGTTTGGATAGAAAGACGACAAAACTTCCATAGGGCTTTTTGATCCTAAGACTCTAGAGGGTAGTCTATTGATAAGGTATGTTGCTGTAAGGACAACTTCCCCCCAGAAATTTTTTGGGACACTTTTTTGGAACAACAATGCCCGAGTCTGATTTAATAGATGTCCATTTTTCCTCTTTGCGACCCCATTCTGTTGTGGTGTTTTGACACAAGAGGACTCATGAATTATACCTTCTTTTTGACAAAAAGAATTAATGACATGATTGAAGTAATCTTTGGCATTATCTGACCTAAGCCTCTTAATATTAACACCAAATTGATTTTTTATCATGGAGTGGAAGTTTAGGAAGACAAAACTGACTTCTGATTTTTGTTTAAGTAGGAAAACCCAAGTGACCCTTGTACAGTCATCTATAAAGGTGACAAACCATCGAGACACATTTGGAATATTAGAAGGTCCCCATACATCAGTATGAACAAGATAAAAAGGGAAATTACTAATTCTATTACTTATTGGAAAAGATATACGCTTGTGCTTAGCAAGTTCACTCACCTCACAATGAAGACTCTCAACATCTAACTTAGTAAACAGAGAGGGAAATATAATTTTGATCACTCAAAAAGAGGGATGTCCCAACCGACAATGATAAAGCATGATTTTTTCTCTAGCATCAAGGATTCAGATATGAAGGAGTGATAGATTCTATTCTTGCTGGGCAAACTTGGATCTTCGAGATAATAAAGGTCATTCCATTCTCTAGCATGTCCAATCATCCTCCCCGAATCCTTGTCCTGAAATACACAATGATCGTTGAAAAAAACAACTTTACATGACAAATCCTTTATAAGTTTTTGTATAGATACTAGGTTCGTGAACAACTTTGGGACATGGAGAACATCTTTTAAGGTTATTAAATGATTGATTTGGATATTTCCTTGACCAGCTGCAGTTATAAGGGTTCCATCTGCTGTGGCAATTTTCTTGTTGCTGGGACATGGGGAATATGTGGAGAAGTGTTTGGCTAATGGTGTCATGTGATCTGTGGCTCCAGAGTCCAATATCCAATAATGGTTAAAAGACGTATCTGAGACTTTTAATCCAAAAGAAGGTGAAAACTTACCTGAGTATGCCAAAGAACACATACCTGTAGGTTTTTCCAGCTTACTAAGAACGGTTTTCACCCTTTCTATCTCCTCTTCCCTTGACATTATAGCAAAAAGGTGCAATGCAACAACAATGCAGGTTGTCGTCTTAGGATTAAAAAAAATGCAGCAGCAATGTAGGCTGCCATAACAGCAATGCAGACTGTCGTTTTAGGGTTAAGAAATATGTAGCAGCAATGTAGGCTGCCGTCTTAGGGTTAAGAAATATGCAGCAGCAATGCAGGCTGCCGTCTTAGGGTTAAGAAATATGCAGCAGCAATGCAGGCTGCCGTCTTAGGGTTTATCGCGCAGACAGAGCTTCCTAGATCGGAAGCTCTGATACCATCTGGAGAATTAGATTAACTGAAATATGATTTTTTATTATATCAATACAAAGAGATGATATAAGATATATACAGGAGACCTAAGCTATTTTAGGAAATATAATAACTCTATTTTATGTTAGGATCCCTTGATATATGGGATTGTTCCTAATTATTCAAATCTGTACATATTACAAGGAAATATACAAACCTGATTTATTCTTTCCTAAAATACTATTTGATTTCTCACAATTATGTTAACTGATTCAAGTGAATCCTGAATTTTAGTTCCTTAACTTATTTTTTTAGCATCACAAGATGACGTATCTTGTCAGAACAGGTGACAAAAAGGACTTGAGACATATCATTTCTTAATATTAGAGATCATGTGACACGTGTTTCAACTTATCAAACTCGTAAATAGTAGAACTAATAGTGATAACATCGGATACTTAGAACAAAATTCTTAATTTATTAGGTACCCAAATTTAAGAAGATTAGAAAAAATAGAGATTATGTGTATGAGTAATATGTCTAAGGCTAGATGAAGGTGGTCATAGACTTTTTGTTGCTAAAGTTTGTTGTTTGGGTTTGATTGGTTATAGACCTTGTATTTTGGAACTAAAATGCTTAGAGGTTATTTAGAATATTGGTGCATTTGTAATGATTAGCTGTTTTGTGTCTTTTTTTTTTTTAAATTGGTTCTTATGTGGTCTTAAACTAATTTATTGTCCAATTGTAAGTTTGTAACTTATAAAAGGAGTTGATTTGATAATATCATATTGAAAAAGACTGTCATTAGAAAAAAAGGCATTTTGGTGCTAGAAAGCTCCTGCTATGCACATTTAATGCTAAATGTGCTGCTATATGAAGCTCTAGAGTAAAAAGATTGTACCCTTATAGCAAGCAAATAACTTCGTAATGCTCAATTTGGTATTGTATGTAGTTCTGTTCTGCGCTTGTAAAAATATTAGCTGAGAGTGCTCAATTTGTTGAATATGATAGCTAATGACTGGATATAATGCTACTTGTAGGATATAAACGTTGAATGGACGTAATCATTGTTTAACATATGAAATTAAATTAAGGCCAGATCTTGGTATCCAAAGGCAGGATTTGCATTGATTAGAAACATTTCTAGGTTTAGTGATTATAAGGTTTTAAATTTCAGACTTAAAGCTTAGAAGGATGATGGCTTGGTTTAAAATAGACATGACGACTGAATGTTTGAAGCAGAAACAAAGTTGAAGGTTTATGTAGCTCCCTAGGTTTTGTGAAGCTAAAGCTAGAGTTATGAGACAGTAGAAGGCAGATGCATGCCTTTTTTGAGCATCCCGATTGGCACATCTGATGAGTAAACTAGAATGTGAAACAGATGGAAGTGAGAAAAAAGGAATCTTAAGCCTTTAGGCATTCAAATTGTCTATGATTTCTAAGTGCACCACTAGAGTAAATCTGGAAATTAAATGTGGAAAGTTTCGCAAAGTAAAGACTGATACTGTCAGACTTCTATCCCTGCACTCACAACATTCTACGATAGCACTGGAGTAAAGTGAGGAGAATTTTGAAAATCATAATGTAGGACCATCATAAAAGCTTGCTGTTTGGACAATATGATTTTATTGAACATTCATAACCTGGTCTTGTGCTTCCAAAAGAGGCTAAAAGTTTATATTCCTAGTCCATGATTTTTAATCTGTGGCTGTAAAGATGTATGTATATTTTAACCTTACTGATAAAGGGTTTCCACTGACCAGACTTCGACATGGTTGATCCTTCTATTCCCATTTTTTATATTTGAACGGGAGATATTAGCAATTTATTTTTCTCGCATTTATTATTTCAGTGAACTCAGAATTTGCTCGATATTGAGCCACGCTATGTTTTTCCCTGTTCTCGGACGCACCTACTTTTCTATAGCTCGTTGCACCAGCTCATATATGATATATCCTTCTATTCGATCTATGTGTTAAAGGGTTGTATCATTCATCTACTAAAATTTCCTGTTATCTCCTTTTAAACTACATGCAGCATAGAGGCGGTGGTTTTGGATCTGGTTTCATTCCCATTGCAGAGTATGGAAGTGAATTTAGAAAACGTTCTAGGAGAACAGCTGTGAGGCTTTTATACAGCGGCAAGAACCATTATGATCTTCTAGTATAAGAAACTGTAGAACGAAGAAGAAAAACTTAGTAGGAGATTCAAATGCCATTTTGTGATGGTTTTGTTATGTTAGAATCCACGTAATTATTTCTGTTTTACCATTTTTGTTAGTGGACCATGAACACCTTCTGTAGATTCTTCATATCAAACGATTTTGAGATTAAGCACAAATTGAATAAGAGTTTGATTGCCCTCATATTTAAAAGCTTTTCCACTGTTAGTTCATTAGAAATTATCTATGATTTTTAAAATAATTACAAAAATTAAGAAACTTATGATAGATTAACCAATTAAAAAGTATGGTTGATGTAACTTTTCAAATAATTATTTAAAAATTAATAAACTTATAAAATTATATATATATATATATATATATATATATTTATTTATTTATTCACTTCAAGAAGAAGAGTTATACCTTTATTTTTTTATAAATGTCATAGTTAAAAATAATAATTCATTGTATCTATTAGATAATAAAAAAAAATATGAGATGAAAATTATTTATTTATTTATTGTTTTTAAAAATTAAAAAAAATGTTCGATAATTTTTTTTTTCAAAAACTATAAAACTAAAATTGTTACAATGTCTTTTGTTTTAATTCTTTATTTTTATTAATGGGTATTAATATTTTTAATAATAGTTATGAAAGTCATCTTCTAATTTTTATAATGATTTTGTATGATCATATATTATCATTCTCTTTAAAGTAGTCTTCAAAAATTAGAGTGTTCTAATATTTTTTTCAACTAATTTTCAAAATTTGTTTCTAAATTATTTTTAAAAACTAAAAGTAAAACTAAATAAAAAAAACCTAAGTCTCCAACTTTTTTAAATAAGTGAATAATCTCATATATATATATATATATATATATATTATATTTATATATATTTAAGTGATTGAATAAAATATAAATGACATTTATATTTTTAAAATAGACACGTAATATTTTTAATAAAATAACACCAATATCCTTTTCAGTTTAAAATAGATATTTTCCTTAATAAATGACACTATTCTCATATGTTTATAATAAAGTGACATCATCTCCTTCATTTGATCTAAAAAAAGCAAAAAAATATTTGATGTTTTTTTAATTTATTTTTTGTATTTTAGTTTGGTCCTTTATTAAAATACACTTTAGTGTAATTTTTTATAATGAATTTATATAAAGAATTTTTAAAAGATGAATTATGTTTTGATTAAGATATCATTAGTTTATCTTTAATAACGATGTTGTTAGTATTGATAGTCTATTTTTTGTTAATGAAAATTAAGATTTTTAACCAATGTTTATACAATTTATTGTTTTGTGGATTTAGAATAGAGTTATCTTTTAATCACATTAATTAGTAATTTATCAATCATATGCTTCATCTCAAACTCACTGTAATGTGGTGACTCTAATACCAGATAACGAAGGATGATATCCCAAGAATTAAATGAAAAAAATAGTAAATTTAAGGTCCTCTAATGGGATAATCTCTGTATCAACACTATCTGGAGAAGTCAATATGGAAAGGTCCTATTGTACTAACTCTCTCTGTCGTCCTAGAAAACATCGCAATTTAACACCTCCACAAATTTTTCAAACAGAATTTATTAAATTATAATATTTATAGATAATTTAAATATTTTTATAATAAAATATTCTTAAAAAAATTATTAGTATTGTTAAATTATTATTAAATAAATAAATATTAAATTTTTTTATTATTATTATTTAAATTATAAATAAAAAGTATTAGAAAAAATTAATAATTATTAATAGAAAATTTACAATAATTAATTATATATATATATATATATAGATATATAATTGAAAAAATAAATAAGATAGGATAGGGCTTATTTCTTTTATAATGATAAATTTATAATTAATGTAATTTTAAAAAATATATAAAAAGTCAAAATCAAGGTACTAAAATAGGTGGGTTATAGGTGAGAAGAATGAAGAAGAACCAAGAAGAGAGAAAGGGGAGAGCAAGAAAGAGAAAGGAGGAGAGAATGAAAAAGAAAATATATAAACAATCTCTTTAATTTTGGTGTATCTATTATTAAGTTACTAGATGAGATATTTATCATTTTATTTATTTTATTTTTAATTATGATTGAAAAGTAGGGTGTTGAATCTCATTCTATTTATTATGTTATATATATTTTTTTAATTACTCATTAATCTTATTTTATATTTATTTATTTATATTCAATTATGGACTAGTTCTATTTATTTTATTTTCAATTACGTACTCTCTATCTTATTATATTTATTTACTTTATTTATAGTTAAACATTGAGACTTTTTTTCATAAATAATACTATTTTTAAAAATATTTCCTAAAATAGCACATTTGGAACATTATTTACACAACTAACACTCTTTACTGTTCACGTATTAAAATAATCGATTATTTTATATTATGATCAATTATTTCGCGTAATCAACTCTTGCTCAAGCGAAGAAACCCTTCGCTTGAGCGAGGAAATCTGTAAAAAGGGGTAATCTCGGGTCAATTCTCGCTCAAGCGACGGGTATTTTCGCTTGAGCGAGAAGTGATTAAAATATGTGGTGACCCAAGTTGCGTTATGTAGCTAACTGCGTTGGACGTTTAGCCTGTGGTCAATTCTCGCTCAAGTGATGAGTTACTTCGCTCGAGCGAGAATTGATTGGGTAACTACGTTGAACCGTGGTCAATTCTCGCTCAAGCGAGACATCCATCGCTTGAGCGAAGAAATTTATAATCGATTATAATTTGAACTAATCGAACATAATTTTAAAATAATCGAATATACAAAATTATGATTGATTATTTCTCTCTCGCTCAAGCGAAGAAATCCACTACAACAGAAAACACATGTAATAGCGGTTCCACATGTTCTATAATAGCGGTTAAAAACGGTTAACGTGGAACCGCTATCATATATTTTTCACTTTTAAGAACGGTTAAAGTGGAACCGTTATCATATATGTGTCAATTTTAATATCATATATGTGTCACTTTTAATATCATATATGTGTCACTTTTAAGAGCGGTTAATATTTTAACCGCTCTTAAAAGTGAACATATAATAGCGGTTCCACGTTAACCGTTATCTAAAATATACTTTTAATAGCGGTTAGTTCTAGAACCGCTATCTAAAATCTCGGGTCAATTCTGTTAGAATCGCGCAGCGGAATGGTCGCGTGGTCGGACAAAAACCAAAGGGGGGTGAATTGGTTTCTTAATAAAAATTAGGTTTTCAAAATTTTCCCCAAATTTTACCGATTAAAAACTGTGTAAATGTAAATAGAGAAGAGAAGAGAACCTTACACAAGAGATTTATACTGGTTCGGATCAAAAGACCCTACGTCCAGTTGCTAATCACTCAAACAGAGGATTAACGCTGTCACTATAAACAAAGTTATTACAAACAATTTACAATGGAAAAGATAAAGTAAAGATAACACCTCTCTTGAATCCCACAAGAGATGAAGAACAGCTTTCCCCAGAGACGGCACAACACACAATCTACTAAGAACTCCACTTAGTGATTCTTATCGCTTCTAGCCCACACCAGGTTCCAAAAGCCCCCTTTCCTTGCAACAAACAGTTCTGTGGCACTCACAGCACTTAACTTTTGTATGGAAAAGGTTGTTCATCTTTTCTGAGTGCCAAAGGAGAGTTTAAGTAGGGAAATTAGGGTTTAGAATTTGGGGATTTCGAAATTAGGGTTCTTGGTAATTGGATTTTCGAAAATAGGGTTGATTTGAAATTTAAAAACAAAAACAAACTGAAATAATCGATTAAATAAAGTTATAATCGATTAAAACAGAGCCAAAAACAACAGAACCCAAAACCTCTTTGTTTTAATCGATTATTAGACGTTTTAATCGATTATTAGACGTAATAATCGATTATTTTGAATTTTAATCGATTAAAGCAATGAGTTTATACAGAAAATGGTTTTCTCACTGTTTTAATCGATTATTTCCCCATATAATCGATTAAAGCCGAGCCTGGATGATATATTTGGGCTTTTTGAAGCTTCTAAGTTGCAGACTATGTACCGGCTATCTCAAACTCTAAAATTACAGACTCAATCTAATTAAAACAGAGTTATTACACTACAAAACAAGTCTTCAATACTCTAAGTCTTTGAGTTCTTGAATCATCATCAAAATCATCAATCTTCATGTTCATCAAGTGCAACATCAAGTCCTTGAATGTTCAACAATCTCCCCCTTTTTGATGATGATCAAAATTATCTTTTTAAAGCCCTTGTAATAACCTGTTTTATCTGTCATACTAACAAACACATCAAACATACCAGATAATATTTAAATGCAATTCATAAGAGACTTTAAATTTTTCTCCCCCTATTTTGATTATAATCAAAAAGAACTCTGCAATAACAATCATAAGAGCTCCCCCTCAAAATATGCATAAGTTGGAGAAGACTCCCCCTCAATCAAAGCATTAAAGAAACATCATATTTTATTTCAAAAGTGTCAATACAGTACATCATAAAAGAAGACAATCAACAAATTTAAAATTCTCCACTATCATCATCATTAAAGTGTGCATTAAATCTATTTTCTAAACGACACACTTTTTCATCTACATCAGATATACGGTGAATTAATTCCTCATGCCGTACACCAGAAAGATTGAAGAATGATTGCATCCTCTGATTCATGTCAGATAACATATCTTCCATGGATTGTCTTGGTTCATGATGAGTAGAGGAAGTTCCAGCATCTTAGATTTGGTCAGAGGGAAACTCAGCAGCTGGAGGCATATCTTCATCAGAATCATCATTAGCATCCCCTTGATTAGGAACGTCATCTTTGTGAACATAAATATCATTGACTCGCACCATTTGAAGTTGAGTCAATGTGCTGTCTAGCATGCGGTTTAAGTTGTTTGTTCTAACTGCTTGCTCACCTTCAACATTCACTCATTTATATTCAAGAATACGAGAGACAAGGAGGGCATATGGAATTTTGAAGGTAGGATG